CTGAAGGACTCGGGTTACCTCTTGAACTCCCATCAAAGTTCAATTTCACTCTTTGTTGTGTTGATGGGGACCACAATTCCTGCACAATAGGTTTCATGGAAGTTGTAGAAGCCGCCACTTCCCAATTCCTGTAAATGTCTTCAGCTGAGAAGTCTTTAAACAAATCCAAAGTTTTCAACCAATGAATAGTCATAATAATTATCCTTTCTACAATTGCCTCCTTGGATTTCTCCACGCTTTTAAAGATTTTATTATTCCTTTCTTCCCAAACTGACCATAAGATAGCCGCTCTTATGGCTCTCCACATTAACTATGTGCATGTAGTATAATTCTCAGAATCTGACATGAGACAAGATTACAATCTGCCCAACTCAACAGGCTTGAAAAATAGAATCTTGTGACTCAATAGGCATCTCCACTTTTTAGGTTTTACATTGATATACTTTTATTTTTAAAATGATAATAAAATAATTGTTCGAAAAGAGATTGTAAGCAGGGGAGGTAAGGCAATGCAAGGGATCTACCTGAAAGACAGTAGACGGCTTTGAAAGGAGAAGGAAGAAAAGGAGGAAGCTGCAGAAGAGATTTAATGGAAGTTGTGAGGGAGCTGAGAGCACAGTTCGGCAGAGCTTACGCAAGCAATGATTATGTATGCATAGGGAAGCCTTTGGGCCTCCTCTATTTATACAGGAGGTCACTTAGCAAAACAGGAAACCACATGAGAAGAATGGAAACTTTCCCCAAAGTGGGAAAGATTGTTTATCGAATAGATCTGAGATAGAGAGGGCACAAGTAGGGTTTTGCCACGTGTCACTATGGGGATCACGGAGTTTGGGCTCCTGTCTTTTCTCTTCAAGGTCTGCATGTGAGCACAAGATCAGCTACAGCCCTACATCTAGAAGCCTCTCATGACTTAGTTGTTTTGTTGGGGTGCTTATATGCTGAATTGTCATTGCAAACTTATTGTATGTATGTTTTCTTTTGATAAATGAACTTATTGTAAGTATGTTGTTCTACTGCGCTGCAGCGCTTAGGCAGTATGTCATCGTAGCACAGTGAACTGTTGAGACAATGCATTGGATCACAAAATAACGTCAATATTCTAGAGGTAGTATTATCGTGGATGTAGCTATTTATCGTGGTTCAGAAACTGTGTGGAACTGTGTTGCGGGGATTTTGGGGCTATGATATAGTTGTATTTGGGTGCTGTTCAGTGCAATTTTCTTATTGTGCAAATGAAGAGTTTGGGTTTATGTGCAATGTGAGTGTGTTGTGGTCACTTGCTTTAGCATTTGCAGCGCAATCTCCAAAGAGCCTAAATCCATGTACTTACAGAGATCATACTAAATGTTAGAAAAATAAATCAATGCAAACAACATTAAGCAATTAAAATATTTAATGATTGATATAGTAAATTATAAATTATGTTCACAATTCATGCCCAACAGCCCAAATTTTAGCTTAAGAGTTTGAGGGTTTAGGCATACAAGAAATATGCAACAAGAACCAAAAGGCAGGATATCAAAGACAAGGAGTAGCATGTAAAAAGGAACTAATCCTGCCCACCAACCATGCCACCAGGCCCACCACCCTATACACAGCTGCTACCCAAAGGACATCAAAACCAAACCTAACCGTACAGAACAAACCACCCCATATACAGAACCCTAAAGCACATTGGTAACAGGGAAAATCCCCTTTTGTATCTCTCAGTTTTTTTTTTTTTTTTGAAGATAAAAATTAAACATTATTAGAGAAAAGGAAAAGAAGATTACAGCAGGGTGATAAGGAATCACCTAGCGAGAACAGACCCAAAATACAACAGACCCACCATAACAAAAGCCCCTAAAAAACAGAGAATTAACCCTGCAGATATACCAAAGCACCTTAAGAAACAAACCATATCCAATTACAAATATCACAACAAGAATCACAGAGGTCCCTACCACAAACCCCTAAAACAAGCAAGAGACTGAAACCCAGGACCTCCAAATCCTGCCAGAAAACACATATGAAAAAAGCATCCTGAAACACAAACAATTCAACTGATGAAATGCTCAACTCAAACTTTATCCATTTCCTCCTCATGTCCACTGTCTAATATAGAAATCTCTTGTCTCATCTGGGTAACTTTCTTTATCTTTCTCCCTTTCTTTTTTAATCCTGCTCCATATACTCCCATCTTCAGTCTTGCAAAAACATTTGAAACTTGTCTCTTTTGATTGGTTTTCTGTCTTCTAAATCTTCTTACTGCATTAGGGCATTTCTCCCCCCTTGTAGATCCCTCCCTTTGAGCATTAAATCTTTTTTTTTTTTTGATAAATGTTTGAGCATTAATTCTTTCTAACTCAAATATGGCATTCTTCTCAAACAATTGATCTGCACTCAGGTCTTCTCTACCCTTCCCTCCTCTACATCTCCAACTATCTTTAAACTTCCAAATTCTTTAGTTGTCCCTGAACCAGAATCAGCCGCCCCCTTATTCTTATCTTTCGTCTGGACTCTAGTATTTTCCACCCCCCTAAAAGCTTTCTTTGCAAAATCCTCTCCCCCCAAGAAGAATAAACCCAACAATTTACTGACCCTTACCCCTGTGTTCAGCACCCTTTCCATATCCACAGATTTCTCAACTTCGTGAGTCTCATCTATGACTACTTCTTCCTCCTCTGTACCTGTTGCTCCATCTCTTTACCTAATCCTGCATTCTCTTGCAAAGGCCTGGTTCTGTATTTTTGTTCCCTTATGTAGACTCTTTACAGAGACATTTTCTTTTCCTCATCCTCTTCATCAACAGTCTCTACTTCTTCCCTAGAAACATGGAGGTCACCATTTTCCATGTCAAACCCTGTTTGAACTTCATCCCTCTCTCCCCCTTGACCGTGTTCATTCTCCCCCAAACTGTTCTCCCTTCCACCCTCTTTTTTTTTCAAAATCCGGCTCTTCCAATATCTTTAAGTCATCTTCTCCCACATTGTCATCTTCTTTTGAGAAAATCTCTCCCGGATGCACTCCATGACCTTGGATCCTGATCTTCCAACGCAGCATTTCCTTTATGGGCACCTCCCTTGCATCCGACTCAATCTTATCAGAGGAAGCCAAAATTCATAAGCCTAAAAAATTGGAGCAGTCACCCAATCTTTCATTATCACAAGGAGGTTTCTCAGATTCACCTTCTTCATTTTTAAGAGAAGACTCGCTGGGATTATACGGCAAGTTGCTAAAAGACCCCTAAAACCCACCTAGTTCAGACCACTCGCCCCTGTGACCTGAACCACTCTCTTTTCCTGGTTCAAAGTCTGGCTTAATCGGGTCAGATAACAAAACCGATATTAAGCTATCCACTCCTTTTTGTTTCTCAAGCTCAACTTCCCCTTTACCAAAATCATTTAACTTTGGAACCTTCCCGATGAGTGAGCATTGTTCAAAACTTCCTTCCCCCCTTCTTCTTCCATGCCCGCCACATTAATCAAGTGTCTCTCTTCAGATCTTTGTCTGCCATGTGGTTCGCGCCCTACCTTGTCAGCTTCGTCTTCAACCTCTCGCCCTTCCCCCCACAGTGACACTTCGTGTTCCAACTCGATCCAGACCTTCGTCCAAGCTCCATCTGTGAAGACATCAATTGAACAAGGAAATCGCTGCATAGCAGATATTTGAGGTGTTACAAGATATTAATATCCCTCCTGTCACCATTGCTACCTTCTCCAGCACCAGTTTCTTCCACAGATTGAAGGGGAATCCAACCAATCTGATAGCAAAGGCTTCAGTATGAAACACCTTGCTGTTACAGGCAGCAATCCATTTCCTCACAAGAATGATGCCCAACTCAGTATCAGTTTCCATACATGTCAACATGATTCAACAATGCTTTCAAAGAGTCCATATAATCTAGGTCTTTCCATTTGTCTGTATGGTCAGAAGATACATGCAACCTGAATATACTTTTGGGAGAATGACGGTTCAGCCCAGGGTCAGAATTTTTAGGCCCAAAGTACAAAATCACACTTGGACTCTTGTCCCCTGCCGGATGGCAAGAACATTGTAAGTTGTCGCTGGGTCTACAAGGTGAAGCACAAGGCTGACAGGTCAGTAGAGTGCTTCAAAGGTCATCTTGTCAACAAAGTGTCACAAGTGAACTCTTCACTACGCCATCAAGTTCCATTCATTGTGCCTACAGAATGCCAATCTAGTAGTTACATGTCCATATGGCTAGTTATCTAGGCAAGGGCCTCTGACAACTGGTCATCTAACTGAGACAATATTCAGTGGCCTAAGCAATCAAATCTGCAGATACCAATTATGAAATTCATCAGATAGGTCAATCTTGCATATAAATTTTTGGCAAGACAAATTACTTATGGCCCATAATCATATGGAGGAGGCAAAGGAAAGGGTGAATAGAAACAGTGGTCAAATGTGCACGCATTTCAATTAAGTATCCCAAAGAATAGCAATTATCTAAGTATGTGATGCATATTCAACAAGTCAATATCCAGATAGAAAAGTAATCCAGAGAATGTATAGAAAGACCTTAGCAGTCAACAGGCTTATTTCAGCACATTCAGAATTCCATGTGGTAACAACAGTAAAATGTCTCATGATCAGAAACAGCCAGATGACCATCAAATTCCAATCTGTTACAATCTTTTTTAATACAAATAAAAATAATTTGGAGAAAAGTCTACAAAGAAAAAAGATAGCTATAACATCTGGTTTGCAGTTATGAGATAGGGGCACTCCTAGTGAGAACTGGGACATAAACAATGGGTTTTCCATATGTAAGCATGTCTGCAATTGTGAGGATAGTTGAGAAACCATTTTGAGATTTACCTGGACATTATAGACTTCATGATTGTATTTTCTATAAAACAGGTCCCCTCTTATTACGTAATACATAAACTCTTATTCCACTTGAGCCCAATTTACAATGAATAATGATACATAAGCATGAAAGACAAAGTCAGCAAGAAAACAGGAGGGAAAATGTAGTAATATATCCATACCGTGTACTTCATTCGATTCTTCATTGGAGACCTCTCATTTAGTGTCCCTTTCATTAGTACGCTCAAGATGCCAGATGCTTCTTTCCATTGGTGTTGTCTTAAAAGCTTCAGAAGAAAATGGCTTAGTCTAATACGATGTTCCATTCGTACATTGTATAAGGGCTGGGGATAGGATGGCTTCATGAAAGATAGATGTATTCTCTTAGCAGCTGTTGCAGGTTCGTGATAGCAACCATTTTCAATCCTCTCTCCAACCTTTCTTTTGCCATGATTGTCTTTGCGAGCATCTTCACCAAACTCCATCACGCAGTTATCTGACATTATTGTTCATGCACTCAAATAGGCCTTGCTTAAAACCCTAGAATTCCTTAACTCCCTGCACTTATAAAACCAATTATAGATTCCAAACCAAAGAAAATTGATTGATCAATTACTGCTTTTACAAATAAAGCGTTCTCCATTAATTTTAATTACTCCAAAATGTTAGACATGGCAAAACACTCATGGAAGTATTTCTAACTGGACTCTTGAATACTTGAACAACGTAAGCACACATCCTTGCTGAGATTTGGGGTCTTATTTATAGATAGGCGGCTGGTCTTCAGATAAGATCTTATCTACTGGCCTCTATAATTGAGATGCCTTCTTATCTTCACCATTGTCTTATTAGATGAGCTGGCTTCTTCACCATTGTCTTATTGGTGAATCTTTACTGTTGAGGCTAGTGGCAGGTCTTTTCATACGCAAAAGTATTCTTCAATTATCAAATTATTCAAGTGCAATGTAGGAAGAAGATTTGAAAATTTTTTGAAAGTAAATACAAACTGCGCAAGAAGGGCAGAGCTATCATCACCCATGGTAATTGAGGATATGAGAGATGAAAAGAAAGAGACTTGCAAGGTAGTGGAAAAGACTTAAATTAAAACTTCAACTGATGAAATTGAATTAACTAACAATAATAAATCTTGTGCAAAATCCGTGTTGAACCCTGCAATAGTCGAAACGAATGATAACTTCCAATTCCCGAAGTGGATGCAAATCCAAAATTCAAATTTGGAGAACGTTTGGAAGGCAACTAATGAGAGTGTAAATGGAGGACGGAGGTACAAACCAACTGAAATTAATGGGAGGATGCAGGCCCATTTAAAGTCAAACCACCTGCCCAATGAGAAAGCCAAAAGGGGCAAATTAATGATGAAGAATGGGGCACAGTATAACACCCCTTTGGGAGAAGATCAACCTCTAGGGCCTGTTTGCACCAGTACTCTGTAGGAAGAGAAGGAGAATGGTTTGATTGAAGAAAGTGAGAGACTTTGCAGACAAACAGAACCTGACCCTAGGGCAAGTAATCATCAGGAAAATGAAACAAAATTGACAAACAGGACTGTAAATGAGGGATTTTTTTTGTGAAACTAAAAGGTATGGTTTTATGAAACTAAAATAGTAAACCCTGAAAGATTAGTTCTGTGAGCTTCAATTTGTCCAGTTTAATGAAAGATTAGTTTATGATACATTTAAGTTTTAAACTTCATATTTATTTATTTATTTATTTTGGACTTGTGGAGATGAATGATGATTTGTACTTCTTCATTATATGAAGAGCATAATTGCAAATACATGATCAATAAAAAGCAGCAACAAAAAAGAAAGTAACAAACTTCCATCAGTTCGAAAGGATGTTCCTTTCCATACTAACAGACCAATCCCCTTTTGGATGCAGGGCCCTGAGCAAAAGATTGAAAGATTACTCCCTCACCCCTATTCTATCAGAACCCCCACCTTCGGACTCAGTGGAATGGTCTGAATAGAGAGGAAGTTCAAATCCCTCAAACTGTTGGATTTCACGAAAGCCGATTCAGCAATGGCTACTTTACTGAGAATCCAAGTAAAATGAAACAGTAAAAAAGAAACAAACGAAACAGGCATCCACTCAGTCCAAATAAAAAAAGCAAATTCGACAAGAGGAAACCAGATGAAATAAGTAGCAAACTACAGATAAAAAAAAAAAATGAAAGAAACTGATTCACAAAAAATATATATATGTAGGATGACAGTTATTTTCATTACCAGCTCCGACAGTCACCCAAGTGCAGATTAATCCATAACAAAGATAATGACCAGAGAAGAGAAGAAAAAAAAAGTAAAAAGAAAAATCAAGTAACTAGAACTCGCCTGAGCTGGGATTTCTGCCTGTGTTACTTCTCGATGACGATGGTTAAGTGGTACACCAGATTCGATTGCAAGAGATAATGCTCCAGTTGATCAACACTCAAGTTTGTCGCCGCGGTTTAGGACTTTGGGTTCTGGTTGGATGTTGGCCTGACTTCAGAAGAGCTTCCTAACGGATGATTTATCCTTGAGCAACAATGGTGAATGCTTAATACCACGGGGAGGACGCCAAGAAGATGATGCGAGTGAGTTTCTCCCGTCAGCTGCGAGTAAAGCTTTTAATGGTAGAGGCCGTAGATCCTTTTATTCACATAGAAATTATGATCGGAACGAAGAAGATGGTGCGGGTGCGGTGACTGACGACCGGAACGGGTGCCGTGAATGGTAGTGGTGGGAAGCAGGCCAGAGGTGTCGTTCGGCGATACAGAGGAAGGGTACAGAGAGAGAGTGTACAGAAGGAAGGAGTGAGAGAGAAGGAGCGGCAGCCGGATTTCGTGAGGACGACGCTGGAGATGACACCACTGCAAAGGTCTCCGGTTTCTGTTGCCGTCAAGCTCCGTTCGTTTCTGCTCTATCTATGATGAACAGTATTTCGGGTAGGTTCGAGTGATTAGAAAGAACTATGGGGGGAAAGAGAAAATGAGAGAGATGTGATGAAGAATGCCCCCGCTGCTAGGATTTGCAGCGGCAGTTCGGTTGAAGCGACAATGGAAGGGGAGGAGGGGGCGGAAATCTGTGGAAGAAAAAGAAGAAAGGAAAGGGAGAAGAGAGAAAGGTCGGAGGAGCAGAGAACCGCCGGGAGGGGTGCCGTCGCTGCGCCTCTCTTCTTCGTTCGAACGGGGAAGAGGAATCCTCTTTGATTTCTCATTAGCCCGAATGAAAAAGCTTAAGTTGTACTAGTGGCAGTTTAGTAATTTTTCGTACGTTCGGGGGGCATTGTTGTAACGTCGGAAAAATTGAGTTAAATCGTATCCAGGGTGAATCGGGGTCTTCTAGTTCGATGGTGGGAATTTTTGGGCCAACAAAGGGAGGGTTGAGATGAATTTGACCGCGGAGTAGGGTCGTGCATGTGCGGGCCTCTGAGATTGGCGGAAACATAATAGGGTATTTTTGGCTAAAATTTTATAGGGTGGGGATTTTTGAAATTCTGAATCAACAGGACAAGCAGCGGCCTTCATCTTCTAGTTCAAAACCTTGAGATTCATGGAAGCTGAGGCCGAAGTCCACTGAAGTCTTTTTGTGGTATAGTGCTTTCTGTATGTCTATGGTCTATCTGTTCTTTTGCTTTTTGTTTATGTAGTTCTAGATTAAAGCAAAAAGCATATTTTTTCTAGCTAGATTTTATGTGGTTTGGAGTTTGGGCAGTAAGTTGTTTCCAGAAGACTCACTTTGTCCACCTTCCCCTCGAGTTCTAGAGTTTCATGTCTCTACTTTCGCTTTCCCGGTTTTGCTGTTAAAATTTCTCTTATCTAACAAGACCGACGATACTCCCATATACGAAACAGAGGTGTCTGCTTCATTTGTTCGTCAGGGTAATTTGGCAAAAATTGCTGGAAATTTAACTTAGTTTAGTTTGTTTATGAATCGGTCTATTGTTCTCTTATGAGTTACGATACTAATTTTGGGTTTCCTTCTGATTTAGTAGCCATAGTGATTGATGCATGCGCTTATTTTTAGACCCTTTGAAACCCCTATTCTTACATGCATTTTTCGTCTTGCCAAGCTACTTGTATTTCGGAGGTTGAATCTACTTTTATTTGCAAGTGTTCCTTGTTGAATTCTCCTCCACCTCATTTATTTATTTTTTCTTGTGTCACACTTTTTGCTAATAAATCATGTATTGAGACCACATGATTTGTTTTTTCGAGCCTTACTTTGCACCATTGCGTAGAATTTGTTAATGATCAATGCCATAGATCAATTAGTTACATTTTAGTAGTTCTATTGTCTTTGTGATTTGCTCATATTACACTCCGTCAGAGGATATGGAATTCATCAGACAGATGAATGATTTGGGGCTTCCTGTTTCCTTCAGCACAAACAAAGAGGCAAGTCCAGATTTTTCTTTTTCCTTTTTAACTTTTGTTGTTTCTATAGTGACAATGGTGTTGCAGTGTATTTAATATGTTATCAATGCTGTATTGCTCTGCAACACAATGTTGCATTGTTGCATAAGAAGATAGCCATCCGACATCCGAATATAATTTCTCTTATGGGCCATTGCATTCACAAAGAAACTATATTTTTTGTTTATGAATTGATGCATAATGGATCTATTGAAACACAATTGCATGGTATCACTTTATTTCTTATCCAAGGTCAGTGGAAAGGATGTTAAAAGATAGTGAAAGAGTAACAGTTTAAATTTGTCACCTTGCCCTAGAGGCAGCAATGTGAGTTTATCAGTTTGTTAAGCAACACTCATTTATTTTTATTTTTTTAAGTTCTTCTCATTTACCTGATTTTGTAGTTTCATGTAATCCATTCTAATTTTTTGTCATCCATTGACTCCAATTTTGTGATGTAGAGGCTTAGAATATCTACATGAACACTATAATCCTCAATGATCCATAGAGATTTTAAGTCATCAAATATTCTTATAGATTCAAACTTCAATGCAAAGGTAAAAAAAAAAGTCTGAATCAATGAGATTATCATATTTTTTCACCAATAATGTTTTATTGTTAAAATTGAGACCAATCGGTCTCTTATTAAGGCTCTTTATAATCAATAATATGTTATATATTGTTGATTTACAATTTTTCATTATTAATCTCTTGTATAACTCTTTAATTCCTTATTTCATACATATTTTGACATTTTGTCTTGATTCTGATTTGGGTGATTCAACTCAATTGGTATGCCAATTGAGCTTATTTATTACGTGTTGATTTTTGTTTTTCTCTTCATTTAATGTCTTTTGTGAACCCTGTTGAACTTTATAATGTGCATATTCTAGTAGTTATAAACTTTTGTGTAAAACTTTTCTTCCATTTTTTCTTTTCCCCTAAATTTATCTGGTAGACTTTTAAGGGATACTATACTAGTACACCGCATTCTGGTTGTAGACCTATCATATGTGATATTTATGTCAATTTATACTAGTACACCGCATTCTTTTGGACAATCAGAATAACACTAGAAATATCCTTTGGTACCTCAAGGTTTCACCACCTTGAATAATTCGTGGTTTCACCACTTTGGCGGGTCGGCAGGCTGCTGTTCAGCTTCCCAAGAATAATTCATGGTTTGGCGGGGTTGGGGAAGTACAACCATTCTATAAGATTGTAAAGATGCTCTTACAAATTCCATATGGAAGCATCAAATTTGGCCTCACCAAGGGAATTTTACCTATTGGAGTCCCATAAAAATGCCTCTGCTTGGGTATCTCATAGTTTCAACTCACGTTACATGGACACAGAGCCAATGCTCACTGATATGGCTATTATGATTTATAGATTTTTGGGAAGTACAGGTTTCACATGAATGTATCTTATTAATGGGGATGCCATCATACATTTCAGCATACATATCTATTTATGCATGTCCAAGGGAAACATTGAAAATCTTTCATCCATATCCATATTTATTGGACGTGTTCAATAAAGGCATTGCACTTACAATTAAAGTGTCTAAGTAACATGGTTGAAAGTTATCACCACCTATCCATGGTTATGTAGTTGGCTGTTGTGGCAGTCCAGTCGACTCAAACAAGCTTATTCCTTCAATGGAACTAGATGGTGGTTCTGGTCCCTATCCCTACAGGTCAAAGGTGGGCACATTTACTTGTTGAATGTGTAATCTCATATATGATCTAGAGCTAGGGGTGCAGGGATAAGGGGGCAGTAGCAATTTTGTCATTTTTTGGGAAATTTGTTTCAGAAGGTATATGTTGCTCTTTGTGAACTAACATTCTCTCTAATATTTGCAGATGTAAAAGATATAAAATGTGTGATCAATTATGATTTCCCGTAAAGCCTTGAAGATTATGTTCACAGGATCAGATGAACAAGTAGTGCAAGTGCTAGAGGGACTGCTTTTACCTTATTTACTCATGCAAATGCAAAGTTTGCCAGAGATCTTATTAAGATCCTACAAGATGGCAGACAAGTCGTTAGTCCAACATTGGTTGCAATGGCCCGGTCAAGTGGTTCTCATGGTGGAGGTATGTTTCTGACAATTTTCTCTATTACATGTTTAAGAGATGGGTGGGTTTTCAGTTGACTTGAAATGATTTTCATGTATGTGTTTTGACAGGTTCAGGGGGGAACTTCTGCTCAAGGGGATGGGGATGTGGTGGTTTTGACAATCGAGCTTGTTTTGATTTCTGGATGCAACACCGTACCACTTGGTACAAGGAAGCCTTGGTAGCGCCTATTCTTCAGTGGGACGGTGAACTGTGCTGACAACATAGGTGTGAATAACCTATACATCATTTTTGTGAAAGGGATCAAGGGTCGTCTCAACAGATTGCCGTCAACCTGTGTTGATGACATGATGATGGCCACCATGAAGAAGGGGAAGCCTAATCTCAAGAAAAAGGTCATGCATATTGTCATTGTTCGATAACAAAAGCCATGGTGCCAAAAGGATGGTGTCTACATGTACTTTGAAGGTCAATTATTTTTCATTTTGTTCTGTTGTTTTCTTTCTTTGTTATGTTTTATGTTTTCTTTTTGTTCCCTTTCAAATGCACCGGTATATCTAATCAAAGTTTTTTTCATTTTTTCTCTTCTTTATTGTTTTTTTTTTTTCCATGAGATTTTAAAGCTTCATGTCTTTAATCTGATTATGATGGCTCTTTTTATTGTATTCGTCAGTAACTTGTATTTTGTTAGCATCGAAGTAACTTGTATTATGTTAGCATTGAACGTTAAGATCATAAGATTTTTTTAAGCTTGTTCTTCTGTGCTATTGTAGGCAGTAATTTTATTTTTATGTTGTGCTCAAAGTATTGCCTAACTCATAGCACTTTGACAGTTAACTATTAAGTCAATGGCTTTTGAATGGTGGGTCCCAACAAAATTCATAGGTATAGTTACTCTGTACTACAGTGTGGTCATTAACTAGTAATTAGTGTGAAGAGATGCCAATGCTTTTGGAGTTGTACTTATGGAACTCCTAATGGTAAGAAAGTCTATGGAAAATATGGCACCAGCTCAATGCCACTATTGTCACATGAGTATGTTTTGTTCTTAATCCCCATCTAGGCTGGAAAGTTTATAGGAAATTGGTAATCAAATTCTTACCATACATGTGGAATGAATCCTAACCATGGATCAATGCCAAATCTACAGGCATGATGCGGTTTATATGGGGGCTACTAGTAAACTAGGAGGAGGCTATAAATTCAAATTTATGAGGGGCAGTACAATCTACTTATCCCTTTTATAACCTACTTTTTCTCTACCTTAATTTTTAGAAAAAAATAACTTACCTTAATTTCCAGAAATACAGACTTATTTTTTTATAACCTACTCTTTCTCTCTCTATTTGTCTCTACCTTAATTTCATAAATAACCTAAAAAATAATTAAAAACCTATTTTTGCAACCACTATTATAATATATAAATTTTAATTTATTTTAAGTAATTTTTTTCTAAGATACTTTTACTAAAAAATACCTTCTCAACTTATTTTTTCTATACAATAATTTAATTTCTTCAAGCCCCTGCCCCTCCGCTAGTTGATAATTTATATGATTGTTGGGAGTATATCCAAACTCTAACAAAATTATTAAAACTTTTTTTATTGATTGTAAAGTCCTTTTAAAGTACATTTAAGCTTGACCACAACAATACAAATACTTCATATTCGTTATTATTCATTACATTCCATTCGCATGTGATATTACATGAGTACTATAATATGTTAAAAGCCAAAACTGCCCATTCGTTATTCTTCAATATCTATCTATAATTGTTAGAATTCATCTATACCCAACTGTCAATATTTTGATTCCATCACAACGATAGCCAAGAAAAATGACAACCTTCTTTATTATAAACTAAACACTGGATACCATCCCTAACGGTGGAGAAGACAATGCTCATTTGGTAACCCAAGAATAAACATCTTTGAGTTGCTTGCAATGGCAAATTTGGTAATGGGCAATGTACTGATAGGGGTGTTTAATTGTGATAGTCCCTCCAAAATCTTGGTTGGTTTTACTCTACTATCGTCAATATTTAGTTTCGGTAAGGATTTTTCAAGTTATGAGATCATCATCTTAACAAGTTAAGAACAAAGAGGGGTAAAAACAATAAAAACATTACCTTTAACTCAATTCTCTCAAAGACATGCAAAGAGATGGACTTTGACATTCACCATAATAATTGTCGTCAAGAAACATCTAGTATTTCGGCAACGCTGAGGGATATGATTTAGATAACATCTAGTTGCACAAGACCAAGGAATAAGCTTCATAAATTAGAAAGCAAAACCCATACCTCTTGATTAAACCATGAAATGGTGGTAGGGTTCGATATTACTACCGAAATTGGACATAGCAATTGATTATATGGTAGCTTATATCTAATCAAAGCTAAAAAGCTAGTGGGATTAATAGGTATTGGAATTTGGACCATGTCAAGTGCAAAGGAAAAATCAAATGTGATAAACAATTGGACATAGCAATTGTTTTTCTTGTTGTTGGTTTAAAAAAAAACCTCAAAATCAATTTGCTTGAAAATAGATTATTTCTCAAAACAAAAACACAAGAAACATGTTAATGATTGTGTATGTGTTTTTTGTTTTCAAAATTGGAAAAAGAAAAACAAATGAAAACATTCATGTTGTGGAACGCCCACATAAAGTCACCTCCCCCATTCTCACTCAAACCTCCCTTCTTCCCAAACCAAATTTCTCCGATATTTCCATTTTTAACTAAAGGGAAAATTTTCAAAGTACCTTTATGGTTTAGGAATTTGACTAACTCTACTCCTATTGATTACATATTGTCTTAAAATACCCTTATATTTATGACAAATTGACTAGCTTTATCAGCCCCTACCATTAGTATCCGTTAATGTTCCATCACAATCCAAGCACATGTGACACCACATGACATATAATTGTTTTTAAAATCCAATATTACCCTTTTGTGGGCAACAATTAAACCCGAAAAAAAATATAAACAAAATATTACTCTTTTGCAAAATTTTATGAAGACAACATCAAATCGTAGTTGTAGGATTGTTAAGAGTTTCGGTTTGCAATATCTAAACCTCGAAGAAAGTTATCAATCAAACAATATTTTAACCTAGATAAAAGAGAGACTCCCAATTGTATGATCACTTAGACTATATTATTGACAAATGAAAGCCAACCAATTTAATAAGAGTGAAGGAGACGACACAAATTACAAATCATTTTCAAGGGAATGATGATGAATGTGCAAATCTATTGCACAGGCCTAGAGACAATAAGATTAGGTGCAATTAAATTTTGTTCGAATGAAGAAGTCCAGGGTTTTGCACCTATTGTTCTTTGGCAACCTATTCTCTAGCTTCCAAGTATTGCTTTGATAGTTTTGGTATCAAAATCATGGAAGGGTTTGAAACAAAATGACAAACAAGGTAAGAAGGGGAGGGGGTTTTCAAATCAAATGTTTTTTTTTCATGGGTTGATGGTACTTGTTATTATATTTGTGTTTCAAAGTCCAAATGTATTGCACATAACTTGTATTAGGGCAAATACTACACTGGAGACAAGAGCTCAAGGGGTTTGGGTGGCTATTGGCCTTTGATATTATTATCTACTTGATCAATCGTGTTTTTATGTGAATTTGAATCAAGTAATATGAATTTTAGAAAGTGAAGTTAGCAAAATTTCGCTATCAATACACGTTTTCTTTTAAGAAGTGAAAGAAAGGATTGCACCTATAATTATACGTTTTGAGTTTGATTTTTATTTTTATTTTTTGCTTGTGAACAACTTTAGATTGTTAGGAAGAGAAGCTTTTAAACTAATCAGGCAATTACATAAAACCTAGCTAATAAAATTTTAAACCATTAAAGATTTCAATTGTGTACCTCACATTTGTGAAGCTATGGACCTGTTAAGATCATTACCCCGAATCAATAACTGCACATTAACTTCTCTCACATGGTGGTTGTGATTTTGGATGGCCTTACTAACCTTATCATCTACATAGCCCTTGACAGTATCCTTATAGTCATTGATTTTTTTGTTTATCATTTGGGTTTAATTTTGAATTTTTTAATAGCACAAGACAAATTTATCATTTCATTTTTTTGTTAGGTCTAACGGTGATGACAGTTATTAGAAACCTTATGGGTATTTAAAATAAAAGGGGGTAAAGCTAATCATTTATTCATGACCGTGAATTGTCAATAAAGTTATGAATATTTTAAGTGATTCTTTAAATTGTAAGTGTAAGATTATTCAAGGAAAAAATCTACTTTAGTACCCTTAACTTTGGGGGTAGTGTGAAGTTAGTACCCAAACTTTCAAAAAGTGTAAAGTTGGTCCAAAACCGTTAGGGGAGTTAAGTATCATGTGAAAGGATAAAAATGCTCTTCACCTATTATCTAATTTTCTTATAATTGATATTCAATCTCTAACCATTAATTCCGATATCAAGCTGGTTATGGATTCATTTGGTCTGTACCACATTGGGGTGTCAAGTTGGTATGCCAAAACAAGGAAGTGTTCCCACCATTCCCTACATTGTGTGCCAAATTGCTTATCAAGGGACTCGTGTGGCTCAGTTAATTACTCGATGGGGAAACTGTGCACCAATGCTTTGATGGGAGCAAAGCCTAAGATCGAATTTGAAACTCTTCCAAATAGGCAAACAACCATCACTCATGACCACGAGCTACTTATACCATTCTTCACTTCACATTCCTCTGTCACACCCTTCTCTTTTGTTCCAATGATCACTGAACTTGTTCGCACAAACTTGAGGACTCCCAAGTGTATTACACCATGATTCAACCCTAACCCCCGTAGCCCTAAAATGTCTACCACCATCATCACCATCACCACCCTCCTCTCCATCCTCCTAACCATAACCATCTACCCTATTACAACCACTGCTCTATCCTCCATTATAGGGATTGACTCGTTTTTCTCCTAGCATTCACGTCTTGCCCCACATGCCTCCAACGATTCTTTCCTTTCCCCCTCCTTGTCTACTCCCTCCTCTCCCTTGAAATCACAGTCCCCGTCCATGTGAAATTCGTTGGCTCTTTCTCTAGCCACTCCCAATATCTTTTCTCTTATTTCCTTCACGTCACACCATATTATTTGATCGATTCCATGCCATCGGACCCATTCCTCAACACCTTGCCATAGAACCCCAAATCCCAAAACATATTTTCCTTTATGCGGCTAGAACATATATGCTCACCGTTATCACCTCCATTATCCAATTCTTATTTCTGTCAAACCCATTATCATTAAATCATTATTAAGAAAAATAGCTTATCCTTGAACAAGAGATCCATCTCTCTACTTTGGCCCTCTTTGCAACAGTACCCACTAACGAATCATCAACTTCAACCACCACCTCGCTTTCTGACAAATCATGGAAGAAAGCCCATCAAGAGTCTCCTGAATGCTTGCTTTGGTTCAACCTGGATATATGCTTGAAGTGTGGTGACCTTGTTGAAGCTTGTAGCTTTTCGCCTTTACGATGATGCTCCTAATAAGGGGTTTTGAGATTTTCAGCAAATGGGTATTGATGGAGTTGCTCCACATTAGATTGGCTGCTGCAACGGAAGACCTAGTGATGGCGTTTGATTTGATTAAGAAGATTATAAATTATGACATCCTGTCGAAGTTGATGTTGTACGGATCGACGCTATTTGGGTTCTGTAAGAAGGGGGGAGCGGATAAGGCTTACGAGATTGATGCCCATATGTAGTGTCTGGGGTTTGGGCGGAGGAGCTCGAGCTTGTTGCATCGTTACGATTTAGTTCAAGTATAATAACAATGAACGATGTCTATTTTTTCGAAGGGTAGTTTTAATATTTTCAAAAATTTTAAGTTGACTGACTGGAGGGACCGACTTGATTCGGATACTAAATTGACGCTTACCCCCAAATTCAGGTACTAAAGCGGAATTATTCAATTTCTTGAAATTTAAGAGCAATTCAAGACTTCAATTCCCAAAATAAGGTTGAAAGGGCATTTCAGTAAATTCAGTACTTTATTACACCACGAACACCGTTCATTGTCGAAGAATCTATGGTGAGACGGAGAGAAGGCAAGGGAAAACTCCGCGGCTTCGAAAGCTTTTTCGGCCCTCTTGTGCCTCTCTCTCTCTCTCTCTCTACTCAGAACACATTTTTTCCCTCTCCTCCGCTTCGTACTGTTTTGTAAAATTATACGGAAGCCACCAAAATGGAACCATTCTTCCCCTTTTAATCTCAGTTCCTCACTCTCTCTAGATCTCCATAAATCTTTCTCTTTTAATTCTTAATTAATTTCTCTTGGGTCCAACCATCTTAACCTGCAATGGCCGATGGGTCCGAAGAGGCCAACGATATCGAGAAGCTCTACGAGTACGGCGAACGACTGAACGAGGCCAAGGATAAGTCCCAGGTTAACTTCAATTCTTCAATCTTTTTCATTTTCATTTTGGGTTTTCTTTCTAGGGTTTTAAGTGGTGTTATGAATTGAATTTGATGTTAGCTACTTTTTGTTTTCGAAAAAGCTTGATTTTTTTTTTCTTTTTGGCTCTAAATTGACGCAGAATGTAAAGGATTATGAAGGCATAGTCAGAGCGGCCAAGGGCAGCATTAAGGCGAAGCAGTTAGCAGCACAGCTTATTCCCAGATTCTTCAAGTTCTTCCCAAGTCTATCCAGTCAAGCTGTTGAAGCCCATTTCGATTTGTGTGAGGAGGAGGAGCTTGGTGTAAGTAGCTAATTAACTATCCACCATATTCTTTGTTTTCTCCATGCTTTTGAGTAAACTCTATTTATATTTAAAACTTTTTCACTTGGTTTGTTTTAGTTTAGAGATGATACTAGCATTTCTAGACATGGCTGATTTACAGTTATTGTATCACATACCATGACAATCATACAATTCCAGGAAGTCTCAGAACCTGGAGACATGATTGGTCCCTATGTTTGGACTGCGTTAGCAGCGGAGTTTTGGTTGAATCTGGAAAATCAGAAACCATCAGGCTGTGGCGAGAGATTGCGTCACCATGTTCGGATTGCTTTATCAATAGAGTTCTAGATGCACTTTAAAAAAATTCAAGTTGCAGATATAGTGGTAAACGGCAATTGCATTGGCTATATGACTATATGCAATTATGCACCTAAGGTTGCTTCATATACTTGAGGTGTGTAGATGTGTAGGTTCGTTTTTAGAGGTTAGGCTGCTTTATGCAGTCACAAAAATTCCATTATTATTATTTTTTTAATATCAACAATGCCAGTTAAAGTGCTTTATTAACGGGGACATTTATTATATACAATATTCATAAAAATATTTATTATAAACAAGGTGTCCATACTTCAAAGTTGGGAGGAAGGACCAGAAGTAAAACAAGAAAACTGAAATCTTTAATAGCTCCACAGGCTGACCAATGCATCTTTTCCCAAGCACAATAGCTATCTCAATAAACCCATCTCTGAATGCAAAGAAGCTCTGGCAACCCAACTTCTGACTAGCTCATCTGCTATAGGGTTTCCTGATCTTGAGATCCAATTGAAATGCTAAGCAGGATTCTCATCCTGGTTACCAATGATCTTGTCTCTCTCATTTGCTGTTGTAGTTTCCAAGGTTTGATGTAGAGCCCATCCAGCCAATGCCAACTGATGAATTTCTTTCGACTTCTATGGCGTCTGTTCCTAGGAATTAGCCTACCCTTATTCCTTAAACAGTGCAGAAAAGATAGACTTTCTGCCCTTATTGCTGTTTCTTCTCTAATAGAATGAGGATATGTCACTATTTCCTCTCCCACATGCCTCTAAAGGTGTTTACAATGCATTCTTTAGTAAATGCCACTTAGTTGCCTATGGAACAACTGTCAAAATTATGCTTGACCCAACCTTGAGATGAAGTAATCTATCTTTTTATCAGCAGGCAAAACATTATTTGCCTTGGATGAAGAAAAGATGCTAATTGCATGCCTTCCTCTAAGGACAGAATCAATAAGAATCCCCTTAAACTCTTCTCTTGTAGATATCCAATTCAGAGGGGCTACTCTTATAGTGACAATTTCAGTCACGAAATTTGTCTCCATGGTTTCGATCTTGAAAGGTTATTGCATTTCTCTCTTTTCATTGTTCCCACAGGGTTGCTGCCCTTGTACTTCTCCAAGTAATTCTTCCCCTCTTTTTGTTTGGATAGAGGCATGCCATGCACCCATAATTAGTTGCATAAGAGCTACCGATGAAAATGTCGTTTACTCGTAGTTGTCTAGGTATCAGCTCAAGGTTGGATAGCCTAGTGACCCAGCTGGTTGAAATGTTGAACTGGTCAAATATTAATTCCCCCTTTTTTCTTTAGTTTCAAATTTTCGCCATTTCCATCATTAACAAAATAATTCTTATTTATTACTTATTTTTGTTTAATACGATGAATATATAATATTAGAGACATGTCCATTTTCTACATATTTTCTATATTTTTTTGTACTTTCTCCATTTATTATTTAAATATGACATCATGGGTTGATCCGTTTGACCCAGATGATTTAACCACTGATCCATAATCTAGACAGAAAAGTGGTTTCTTTTCCGGGTTGGTTTTAAAAGCACTGATGAATATATGTTGTTGTGCCTAGTGGCAGCTGCATATTTAGGCTTCATAGGTGATTCTGACACCCATCATCAAAATGTCTCCAAATTTTGGATATTCTTTCTTTGAGTTTCTGCTTGACATGACTGCATCATTAATTTTTCCAGCTAAGGATTTCCACCTTGTACTTAATTTGCCATTAATTTCTGAAAGTGGTTTCTACTTCCAGTTTTGTCTCAAAATGCAAACCAATATTTTCTTTACCTTCAAAATATTCATTTACTTATTTGAAATATAAACTCTGCTATTACCTGTGACTGCAGATTCGAGTACAAGCAATTCGTGGTCTCCCTCTTTTTTGCAAGGATACACCAGAATATGTTTCTAAGATTGTGGACATTCTTGGCCAACTTCTTACTGCTGGTAATTTGGTTCTCAAGTAATATTTTGAGTACAAAGGGCAGGGTTGTAAATGGCGGAGCATGCATCTCTTTTTCTTCCCCTTTGTATATTTTATGGCTTAGTTTTAATTCAATAATTTGATTTGTGTTACTGATAAAAATTGTTTATACTTTTCATAGCCTCAGTCTCTTTCTCTCCAATCTCCATCTGTCTTTGTATTCATCTTGGTTCTCCTCATTCTTTCAGAGGAAAATGTGGAGCGTGATGCAGTACAGAAAGCCCTTCTATCATTGTTAAGGCAGGATGTAAAAGGTAATTTCCTTTGCTATTAGAAACCTTGAAATCTTGAAGCAAAATACTATTGTTTTGGGGAGGGGTGATCCATTTTAGTTTTGGTCTCTTGCTCTTATTTTTGTAGATTCGTTCATGAAAAAAGTTTGTTGCTCCATTTATCATCTTTTCCCATTTTGCATTGGTTATTGAAGAAGAGTTTCTCCAGTGCATGTTTGCTAGGGACTTACTATTGCCTAACAGGATTTTAAGGAAGTAAATGCCAGAAACATGCAATGGATCTGGTAGAATCCAAAGGTTTAAGCAAGTGATAACTCATATATGATGGACTATATTGAGTGCAACTTCAGTGATATTAAGAGAGTATATGGATAAATGTTTTGCCTTGGAATGGGGGGTTGGAAAAGATGGATGGCAAGAAAATGTTTTTAAAAAGATAAATTTCTATTTCAATTCCTTTGTGAAAGAGAGGTTCAAGGGGATGCATGTAGAGTGAAATCCAAGTTGCTAAAATGGAGATATTCCTTGTGGTTTCTAATTGCTGTATGGATAATGGATATTGATTACATGTAAGACGAGAGTTTGAGAGACATATAGTAGTATCCTTCATGCTTTATGGTTATGGAAGCTCATGAATTAAGTGCATGCTCCAGGACAGTCATGGTACTATACTCACCGTCTATTCTGGGCACAATTGTTACAGAAACTTAATTGGGCTGAAATGTTACCAATAACTGCAAGGTGTTGAGAATGGAAAAGTCTCTCAACTTTAATAACCTTCTAGTGGAGGGAAATTCTAAGGTAGTGGCAGGATGGTTTAAAACAAAAAGGGAAGGACCTTGGATGTATATGCATAACATAAGAGAGGTTATGTGCTTGACCAGAAAAAAAGGAACATCTTTCAAGTTTCAACTGCATAAAGAGATCAGTCAATGGTTTGGCTGATTTCTTAGCTACACAAGGGGTTCATAGACATTAGTTGTATTGAGGAGTTGGGAACAGGTCTCCCATGGAGATTGAGTGTACTTTAAACTTTAAGAAATGACTGGATGAAGGTAGATAGCCGGGGCTAGTCTACCAAAAAGGATCAACTGGTTCAAACCTGTCTTTGTATTTTGTTTATTCTTTCATATCAAAACAATAAAGTTTTAGTTACTAATCAAGAAAATATCATTCATGTTTTCATAAGGAAGAATGTGTTTAGTATTGCAGGGCCAAAAGATGATTGAAGGGATGTCAAATTCATTCTTTTCTCTAGACCTGTATGAGCTAAAAGAAGTTGGTTACCAACTTACAAGGATCCCACATGATATGTAGAAGATTCAAAATTTTCTTAAATCATTGCTTTAATGTGCCTTATTCTCATGTTATTATCTCACATTACCTTTTTCTTCTTCTTTGCTGTTTCTGTTATTATCTTCACGTTTGTTTTTTTAATGTTCCTTAGTCATTACTAATCCATAGTTGTCAAGACATCTAGGCAATTTTGGGTGATAGTGGGGCACCCAGTCGCCTAGGTGCTCTCCTAGACTAAGAATTTTATAAAATAAAAACTAAAATTTGGTTAGTCCCCTAGTTTTATAAACCATGTAACATTCATATTAATTAAAAAAATATAAATTCTTTATATTAAGAACATTAAATATCTTAATAATGGAAACTCAATTCGGGCAGATATTTGGACAGCAGTTACAGGTTTAAGGAGGGAAAACAATGAACTTGAAGGAAGTGGAAGTTGCAGGAGATTCAAGAACAACCATTGCGTGTCTAAAGGCTGAGCAGAAGGTAGCTTGGAGCTATTGATGTTATCATCAGAGAGCTACAAAGAATAATTGAGGACTTGCAAGCACAAGTGAAAGGTTCCAAGGGCTGCCAATGGACTGGCAGATGACCTGGTGAAGCAAGGTGTACCAAGGGATCAATTGTATTGGGGCCAAGTTGGCTAGGGGTTGATGTTTTCTCTTTGTTTGGAGGTTAATCGAGGCTAGCCTCCCTATTTGGGCTCTTCTGCTTTGATGTACTCTCATTTTATTTCTGATTAATGAAATTCAGTAATGTTATTCATAAAAAAATCCCTCTCAAAACTTGACAAATCATTATATGTAAGACAATCATATTTTAAATATATTAATTTCAATATATTGGTAACAAAGAAAGAAATATATTAATTTCAATATTTTCAAAAAAATGTAATAAGTATTTAATACAGCAATTTCATATGAAATTAGCAACTAAAGAAGGCTATAATTTCATGTGATAAAAATTTAAGATAGAGAGCAAATAAAAGAGGGAAAAAGGTGGGTGGAAGTGTGGAACTACTGTTTCATTTAATGCAAGAAAGAGGGAGAAGAAAAAAAAGAAACGTCTTTGTACTGATATACTTTCTTTTCTCTTGTCAAAACCATTGGGTCTTTAACTTAAAACTTCAAAGCAAAGTATAAATGATGCATATGCTATATAATAGAATGCATTGATGCGCACATTAGTAAGACATAGCAATATTGATGATGTTATAATAAGGCACCTGGCTTCTGATTTTGTTGCCTAGGCGGGTGGGTGCCTTGTTGCTATAAGTCAAGGTGTACAGGCAAGACACCCAAACAAGGATGCCTAGTAGCCTAGCTGATGCCTTGGCAACTATGTCTAAATCATCCCTTAGTTCTTGTTCCTTTTCTAAATTCTATCACTATCTTCCTTATCCTTTTGTTGCTTCTATTAAGTTTCTGCAATCCTTAGACACTACAGCTTAGACTTGATTCCTTTGTTTTATTATAGAAACATACACCGGAAACAATTCTGAATTTAGAGAAGAAGAAAGAAAAGAAAGAAGGAAGAAGAAGAAGTTCAGGAGGAAGAAAGATGAAGACAAGGGCTTGATCGTATCTCTCTCCAGTCCCTTAATCATGTTTTATTAGAATTGATTGATTGATTCCAATTTAATGTATAATTACAAGGGTGCTCCTTATAGGGCAGCTGAATAGATAACAGTAAAGAAACAAAGGAAAAAAAGCCCACAACTAAGGCCCATTAGCCAATAAATAAAAATAAACCAAATAAACCCAACGAGGAAATAAGACAGTAAGGCCCATTAGGCCCACCATCTCTACACTCCCCCGCAAGTTGAGCATAGATGTCAATCATGTCCAGCTTGCTTACATAGTGCTTTAACTGTACCTTAGGAACGCCCTTGGTTGGAACATCTGCTAATTGCTGTGTTGGTAAAAAAAATCTGCTAAGTGCTCCTTTGAAGCAATGAAAGGGAGGCAGACCTTCCTCTTTATCTACTCTTTCTCGTATGAAATGTTTGTCTACCTTAATATGCTTCATTGTTCATTCTATCATGCTGAATTGGGTTATTAGCAATATTGATGGCATTTGAGAGACTTGAACCATAACAACTTTGAAACCCCATGGGCCATGGCCCTGTACTCTGCCTTAGTTGAGGATCTAGCTACCACAAAGTACTTTTTTACTTCTGACTTTTTTTTTTTGATTTTTAGCATTTTTTTTTGTATTTTTGTGCCTTGCTTAAAAAAGGTGCGTGCCACGCCTTGTGCCTTGTGCCTTGCGCCTTACGCCTTACGCCTTACGCCTTACGCCTTACGCCTTATGCCTTACGCCTTACGCCTTAGGTGCAAATTGGCCCTTGCGCTTTTTTTTTGCGCCTTGCACTATTAAAACACTGCTTAGGGTTAAGTTTGGTAAGGAATTCAAAGACCCTGTTCCTCTCCATTAGTATCCTTTGAGTTTTAGCATCTTTTGTGCACCCCCATTGAATTGTCTCCATCAAATCGATTTCCTACCAGAGAGACTTTAGCATTGAGAAGTATATGCTAAGGGCTTCTCCCCTTGTTCTAAATTATTCACATCATTCTTTAATTTATAAGCCCTAGCAACATTTAACTCCTGTGAGTGGGTTTCTTTAGCAGTATTCACCCACAACTTGTGTTGATTGATATGTTGTTGCATATAATTAACCAGTCGACCTGCATCTATGCAATTATCCTGCATCCACCTCTCATAGGTAAGATCATCCTGCTTAGGTTTTGCCTTACGTCCAGTGGTTTACCTCCATTTTCCTCTTCTACAGACATGGAGTAGTCATTGCCCCCAACAGAGTCTCTACAGACCCCTTGGCTAAATCTAGAGTCAGTAGATTGTTTTGTCTCAACTCTAGTTTCATCCATTGATTAAACGAAAACAAATGAAAATAAAAACAAGGTACTACTAATCAAATAACACTGACTTGAAGCCAAAGTTGCTCCTTTGTAGCAAAAAACTAGGGTTTCAAAGTACCCAACAATCTGGGAGAAAGAGAGAAGTTATAGCCGCTCCTACTAGACACTCCAGAAACTTTTCCAACCAGAATCAATCTCTGAATAGGTTGACAAACTTCCTTTTAAGCTTCGATCACAGCTTCAAATTGTCTCTAGACCCCTTAGTCTGATTTCTCCAGTTGGCTAGGGATTTTGGGAAAAGTATCCAAGAACTTGTCTTGGGTCTCAATCTGAATGTTTAATCCTCTCCCGAAAACTCCCCAACTAGGTGACACCAACCTTCAATTGACCAGCAACTTAATTCTGCACACACACTGTGTATGGGCCAATAAAAGGAAAGAAGGAAATGGTGACATACTCTGGTACCAAGAAGAAATATAAACCAGCAACAATTCTGAATTTAGAGAAGAAGAAATAAAAGAAAGGAGGAGGAAGAAGAAGGAGTTCAGGAGGAGGAAGAAAGAGGAAAAGGGAGGGGAAGAGAGTTTGATCGTATCTCTCTCCGGTCCCTTAATCATGTTTTATTAGAATTGGTTCCAATTTAATGTATAATTACAAGGGTGCCCCGGGTAGGGTGGCCGAACTGATAATAGTAAAGAAACAAAGAAGCAAAAGCCTACAACTAAGGCCCATTAGCTAGTAAATAAAGAAACAAATAAACCCAATAAGGAAATAAGACTCTAAGGCCCATTCCACCCACCATCTCTATAATTATATTTTGAAACAATCTTCCATCTGTCTCCTGGTACATGTAAGCTAAATCTCAAAACAATCAACTTAAGATATTGTGGTGTGGTCTATTTCTAGCTTGATAGAGATTCCTCCAGTCTCCAGCCTTTGATATTTTTGACTTTTAAGCTAAACAAGTTGAAGTCCTTGTTGTCTGTCATCATTATTAGTGAAAAACATGTATATTTTGTCAACGTTGTTGGAATTGGATTTTATGATGGGTGGTTGTTGTTAAAACTAAATGGTGGAATATGGGTGTCTCAGGAAACTTAATGGTAGTTCTAATTGATCATTGAAACGAGGAATGTTTTTAGGTTGCCTGACCATATGCAATATAAGCCATTATGACTACCAATGGTAAGCACATTGGCACAAATTAAAGGCTTCGAGGAAAGGATGAGTAGGCTATGAAAAGTGTCAATGGGGGTTCTGAGTAAGTAAATGAAAGGATATAATCTGTTTTATACCATGGATTCAAAATGGTTCAGACAAGGCTATGGGTAATGACAATTATATTTTTGATAATTGACTAACATGACATGTTGATACTATATCAATAATTTATGTTTTTCTTCTTGTGGTCCACTGATTGGTTTTATGCTAGAAGCCAACTATATGAATTGGTAATTGGTAAACATCTTTTAGTTACATATCTCAGCTCCATAACTTCGTTTTCCATGTATAATGATTTTCTTAACAGTAATGTAGCAAACTGGGAAGCTCTTTCGCTGCACCATTTTGTGTTGCATGACACATTTGTTCCTTGCAGCTTCTTTGTCAGCCTTGTTTAAACATATTGAGAGCACTGATGAACCAAGTGCGGATGAAAGTATTCGCGAGAAGGTTCTGAACTTTATCAGGGATAAGGTAAGAAGCCTATTATATAAGCTTTATAGTGTCCTAGTGTCATTTGTGCTGTTATTTTTTGTTTTTTGGATTTATTTGTATAATCATAGTTGAGTTAACAGTAATTCTATTTCAGGTGTTCCCTATCAAAGCTGAGCTCTTGAAGCCTCAGGACCAGATGGAAAGACATATAACTGATTTGGTAAAAAAGGTAGGTTTGTGATAAGTTTTCTACGGTCTTGATCCTGTATAAGTATATTTAGTGGCATGACTGTAGCTTGATGGGTTGTTTGTTACATTTTGTTTTCTTTTATTATTGTACGTTAAGTTTTTCTGAATTTCAATTATAGTTATGTTATTTTGAGGACAAAATCTGAAAAATGTTAGTTTAATTGTGTTATTCTAGAGTTTGCAAGATGTAACGGGGGCAGAATTTAAAATGTTCATGGACTTCTTGAAGAGTTTGAGTCTATTTGGAGACAATTCTCTTCCTGAGCATGTGCAAGAACTAATTGAAATTATTGAGGGGCAGGCTGATTTAGATGCGCAATTCAATGTAAGTTATGGACATGAATATATAGACATGGTATCTTTTGTTTCATTTTATTCTAAATGTGCTCATTGTCTGCTAGACACTCTAAGTTGTGATGGCTTTTCTCAGATAAAACCTTGATGCATTTCTATGAACGTCTACAAACATTGCTAGAAAAAATAGTTTTGGTGTATTTTCCTCTTGCATTCATGTTTTACAGTTTTACTACTATTGTTTTTGATAAATAGTTTTACTACTATTTTCAACTATATTATGATGAATATGTATGTAAAGGGATTAATCTAGAGGATAGAGAGTTGTCTACTTTGCAAGAATGTGTTGTTCTGTCACCTCTTGGCCTATGAAATACCTAGGGCTTCCTCTAGGAGTCAACCCCAAAGACCATAGCTTTTAGAGCCCAGTGATTGATAGATTTTCCAAGAAATTGGCAGTTTGGAATACAAATTACATCTCTTTAGATGGTAGGATCACTTTAATCAAATCAACTTTGGCAAATCTCGCCGTATATTACTTGTTAGTGTTTAGGATATCACAAAGAGTGGGTAAGGTGGTTGAGTAGATAATGAGGGACTTTTTGTGGCAGCTAGGGGAGGGAAGAAAGATCATTTGATTAAATGAAAAGTGGTGTCTAGGAGTAAGAGGCTAGGTGGATTGGGAATTGGTAGCATTGAATATAGGAATTCTGCTTTGCTGGGGAAATGGTTGTGGAGATTACAGTTAGAAGGGGGCAAATTATGGCATAAGGTGGTAGTGAGCATCCATGGGCTTTTTGACAATAGATGGGATGCCAAGGTATGTACAAGGGCTTCCCCTTGGAAGGTAATACACTCCGTACTCTCATGTTTTCTCACTCTCATAAGTATGATGTTTGCTTAAGTAATAATATTCTCTTTTAGGAATATGTGTGGGTGGGGCAATATCCTTTAGTTCAGTTTCCAAATCTCTCTGCTTTGTCTTCTTCCAAGAGGGAACCTATTTCAAAGTCTGCAGTCCCTTCCCCTAGTTGTCTTAGCTTTGATTGGAATCTGGGGTCTAGAAGGGCTTTGAGGGACTATGGAATTCCTGGTTTAGTCCAATTCCAACAAATCCTTTGATGATTTGTTCTTGGAACTCTTTAAACTTGATGGTCACATGAGCTCTTATGGCTTCGGGATCCTTTTCTTTCACTTCTTTGATGTTTTATCCTGGCCTCTTGCTCCTATGTATCCCTTTCCTGTTAATGAGGTCTGGTACAGGACCATTTCTCCTAAGGTGGGAGCTGGGAGCCTTTATTTAGGAGGTTTTCATGAGAAAATTAACATTTGTGACATGCTCCAATAATGAAGGCCAAATGTTTGCTAGTCTTCCCCATGGTGTGTCATATTGTGAATCTAATGGTGAGTCTTGCTATCACTTACTGATCACCTATCTATTTGTTGCTGGTATTTGGGAATGGTTTCTCTTGTTGTTTGGGTGCAGGTGGACTCCTCTGAATTTTGTATGAACAGCTTGTCTTTTTTCCTAGTTCTTTTGCTTGGCCAAAGAAAAGAAGAAGCATATTGTGGAAAACTACAAGGGCCACAATCATTTGGACAGTTTGGGAAGAAAGGAATGCAAGAAGGGATTATTGAATGTATAACTAAAGAAGGGATTATTGAATGTATAACTAATGTGCTCCATTGTAGTCTATGGAAAGCTTCTTTTCATTTACAATGGATGACATCTTTGGAAAATGGAAGGAAGTGGCGGAGACATCACCGAAAAGCTAATCATTAATAAAGAGTGGTTTTGTACAGAAAAAAATGGTTTATGAAGTTGAATTTTGATGGAAGTAGTAGGGGGAATCTGGGGCCATCAGGAGTGGGAGGTGTATTTAGAGATGAGAATGAGCATGTGGTTGCATATACTCAAATCCAGTTAGTGCTGGAGATTCACTAAGGGCAGAGATAAGGTGTCCACATGCAAGGAATATGTATTTGAAGAAGTTAGTCTTTATGGGTGATTCAAGATTGGTAACAGGATTGCTGCAGCATAGAGAGGCTGTATTATGGCGATATAGAGATGAGTTAAAAATATTCAAGTGGCTTGCCCAAGACAGTGAAGTGAGAATTAATTGGGTAAAGAGAGCTGCTAACAGCATGGTAGATGAATTAGCTAAGCTAGGGGTGGGGGGAGAACACATGTTGTGGGTTCGATTGTAACTGAAAAATACTAGATATGGCAGGTGCCTTCTCTGTAAAGGGGATATTTGTATATATGTACCTTTATGTTCTACATTAATAAATTTGACATGGTTATTGATAAAAAAACATGTATTAAAGTGGTTATTCTGTTTGCATCTACTTATGTGGGCATGGGAGAAGAATTTCATGACTGAAGGAGATCATATGCATATATAATCCAGGTTACAGAAAGGAATACAGTGACTGTCTCAGCTTCTTGCTTTCAAGTACACTGGTTTTGGTGGTATAATTTAGTTTTTTTTCTTTTTTGTCCCAGGCAAACTTGGAGGTGGGGAGGGTGAAGGTGGGATTCTGTCACACTAACTTTACCAGCTGGCACCTTTGATCTTCTGGTATTTTAATTGTATTTATATGTATGAATCTCTAAATATCTGGCACCTTTAATCGGTAGTTTTCAAGGTGCCAAGGTGAGGCTAGTTGACAGGAGGGCACCTTGTTGCCAAGGTGATGGATTTTTTTTTTTTTTAAACAAAATTCCTAATTCCTAGTATGATTCTCTAGGTTCCATTAACTTGAGAAAATATTAGTTGGTCCTATGATTTTTTTTTTCTCAATTTTCTTCTACATGGAAATAAGACATGGCTGGACAAAGGACTGAGGACCTTTTAAGGTTAAATAATAAAAGACTAATTTATTTCAGTTTCTCTCTTGAATTGTGGAGCAATCTTACACATGTTAGGGCTGTAGGGTAAATGCATTAGGATGTAAATATGCTCATAATTTCTGCAGGAGGTTGCCCAAGTATACAATGCATTTTCTTTATAATCTATGTGTGAATTATTTGATTTGCTTAAAGCAAGTGGAGGCATATTGTACAACTTATCTGAATTTTCAAACTTCACGTTCTATACATGTGGAATCTTTTATTACATTCATAATTTTTTTTTCTCAAAAAGGTAAGATAACATGTATTAATTCTCAAAAAGATGTACATGCCCATAAATATAGACATATGTTACATTATGTGCAAGTAATCACTCATAACCTATGGTTCCTTTGTTCCTCAGCTCTTAGGTTTTCATTAAAAAGGAGGAAATGATAATTGCTGATCTGGTTCTACAATGATATAATCGATCTTTAGATTGTTTGATATTTCATTTGAGCTCTGTTCTGCAATTTTTATTGTTAAGGAGAGAACAAATGAACTATTTTATTTGATTTACCAGAGTTTAGCTGGAAAATAATCACAATGGTAAATATTGGTTTGGAATTTTGGTAACTTTTTATCAAGTATTTACTATCTATTTGAGTGTAATTATGATGCTCTTATTGGTCCTTGTATACATGACAAGTTTTTTTCGCTCTTAATGCTTTTATCTATTTGAAATTAGATTTTTACACCGAAAGTTTTCTATTTCTATCGTATATGTCTCTTAGTCTGTATTTGGATGTACTTAAAATGACAGGTTTCAGATGTTGATCACATTGATAGATTGATTTCATGTCTATACATGGCTCTTCCATTTTTTATGGTATGCATTGTGTTTCAATATTCTTTTTCCTATTAGTCAAACATGTAGACTTATTTAAAAAATAGCAACATTATCTTTCTTTTTGTATGACTGAAACCATACTTTCCTCAGAGGGGTGCATCGAACAGCAAGTTCCTTAACTATTTGAACAAGCATATTATACCCGTTTTTGACAAGGTAATATTTAATTTTCTCTTTTGACATTATGAACAATGAAATCTTCTTCAATTGTTTTTTGGAAAGTCATATTGTTCTTATTCTTATTCTTATTCTTCTTCTTCTTCTTATTATTATTTTTGATCAATAACATGGAAAGTCATATTATCCTACTATTTTGTTGTATCTATGTAGTATGTAGGTTGTTCTTCTTTATTGTTTGGTGAACTCAAATGTATGCCTAGCAGAATGTTTTTTTTTTGAAGATTTTTATGTAGAAATTTTCTTTTGACAATGATTGTTTTTTTTTTTTCTTTGGAATGAATCTGTTGTGCCCTCTCCTTGACACCACTTCAGGGCAATCCAAAAGAAAAAAGCCCTGACAGGATGGTGGTTGGGGGGTGGTACTGGGGAAGGCAGTGTCCATAGAAAATTTCTTTTATATATTTCTCTCTGCTCTTTGGTAGAAAATTCTGATCTGCCTGCATGACATGAAATTTTTATCATGCTGCTCATGCAGTGGTGATATATAAAAGTTGTCTCTCCATTTCTTGGTGCAATGGTTAAGTCTTGGGCTGACAAGTTTGAGAACGTGGGTTCGAGTCTGAGTGGCAACTTTGTGCAAAGAATGTCAAAGATTGGGTCTGTATTGAGTCCACCCCTTCCAAGACCCCAGATAACTGGGACCAACATTGGGTAATGGCCCTTAATAATGGTAGGGGTTTATATTCATAAGATGTGTAAAAGAAATATCTTTTAAATAGCTTATTTTGCCTCCAGACATATCCTCAGGTAAATAGGTGGGAGTTGGTTGATGCATGCCCTGTTTTGATGAAAAAATGGAAAATATTTCAAACTAAAACATACTTTATTGGGATTGTTGATTGGTTGTCATTTTCAAACAATACTTTAGTTGGGTTGAATTGTTTACACTAGTTAAAAGGATAGTTTCCCGATCATCTATTATCTTTCTTTGAAAAAATTTCAAGTTGTTTCTTCTTTTCGTGTCTTTTAGGACTCTTGGGATCTGGGGCTAAGGAGAGGCTTAAGAGACGCAAAAGTGGAATTGGCAGATGATCTGTTTTCTCTTCTTAGTTCAGTCTTCTTGGACCCTTCTTGTCCTGATAGTAGAATTTGGACTAAAACCTCTTCTGAATGTTTTTCTTGTTCTTCAATTCTTTGTTGCCCCCTACAAACCTATTTACACCCTTTCTTGTTAAAGAAGTCTGGAGTGCTCTGGTGCCTCCAAAGGTAAGGGCTTTTTGTTGGGAAGTGGTTCTCCAAAAAATTAATACCTTAGAAGTGCTTCATAGAAAAAGACCAAGTTGGTGCTTGTCTCTACATGTCTGTAGCCTTTGCTTAAGGAATGGTGAGATGGTAAATCATCTATTAATTTCTTGTCCCTTTGTTACTCTTTTATGGGATTGGTTCTCCTCTTTCTTTGATTGCAGGTGGAACTTTCCCTAAAGTGTAGAGGATCTCATTGACCCTAGCTTCTTCTGACGACCAAAGAAGAAGGGAAGGGTGATGTGGAGAACAAGGGCAACTATCTTGTGGGAAGTTTGGGAAGAGAGAAGCAACAGGATTTTCCAAGGAAAAGAAAAATCAGCTCCTAAACTTATTGAAGGGATCACTGTCAAGACTATACATTGGCTGAAAACTCTAGATTTGTTCAAGGTCTTGTCTACAGATGACTTGACTAGAGGTTGGAGTATAATAGCAAGGTCTTTGGTATCTTGTTCTACCTTACAAGCAACTTGGTTCCCTCCTTTACAACGTAATGTGAAATTAAACTTCGACAACAACTCTGCGGGGAACCTTGGTCCATTTGAAATTGGGGGTGTGTTTAGAGATGAGGGAGTAAGAATCCTAGCTATGTACTCTGGTCCAATAGGCGTGGGGACTCGCTTAGAGCAGAAGTGGTGGCCCTCCTTCAGGGCTTCAGATTGGCTAAGTAATTGGGTATGGAACAGCTAGAAGTGGAGAGAGACTCAAAGTTAGTAGTAGGGTGGGTGCAAATATATAGTCTGGGAACTTGGTCCCTAAGACAAGCTGTAAGAGAATTATTGAGCCTTACAAGGGAGCTGGGTGTAGTTGTTAAATGTTAATTGGACTAGGAGGTCAACAAATGCTTTAGCTAACTTACTAGCAAAGCAAGGGGCGGATGTTTTGGGCTGTGTTGTAACTTGATTGTTGTTTCAAGGGTCACCTTTTCCTTCTATAGGTGACAATTTGTAATTCTGATTTTCTAATTAATGAAAGTTAACCGTTTCCTATACAAAAAAAAGATTAGAGGTACAAAATATTTCATTACTATCCCAGATTGAGGAGCCTGATCTAAAGAATCCCAAGGAATTTTGGATGAGCAAGGGAGGAAGTTGAGACAAAAACTCAAGAAAGATTTGGAAGAAATACCATTGAGAAAAGAGATCTCTTGGAGGCAAAAGGCTAGGCATAAATGGATAAAGGAAGGGGATGAGAATACTAAGTACTTTCATGCCCTAGCTAATGGAAGAAAGAGAAAGAACTTTGTGGTAAAATTGGAATTTGAGGGTGAAGAGATTATAGATTAGGAGGAAATAGCAAGGAAGTTTGTGGATCATTTCAAGTTCCTGTTGAGAAGGCCCTTGAATAACAAATAACATGTCCAAGTTAGGAGTAGACTGGCCAAGATTAAGTGAGGAAAAGTGTGAATTGGTTAGAAAGGGGGTTTGATGGGGAGGAAATTGGATGGGAAGTGTGCCTGATGGTCAGATCAAAAGCTCTTGGTCAGGATGGGTTTACAATGGCCTTTTATCAAGATAGTTGGGAAGTGGTGAAAGAAGATCTACTTGGGGTCCTTAAGGAGTTCGTCGATAGACATCAAGTAAGCCGGGGAGTCAATGCCAGTTTCTTAGCCTTAATCCCTAAAAAATAGAAGAAGTCGTCCTAAGGATTTCAAACCGATTAGTCTGGTGACGAGTATCTACAAAATTTTGGCAAAAGTTGTCTTTGAGGCTAAAAGTAGTGCTACCTCTAACAAGCCAATCTCAAGGAGTCTTTGTGCAAGGGAGACAAATAGTTGATCAGATACTTATAGCCAGTGAATGTGTAGAGGATATGAGGAGGTTATGTGAACAAGGTGTTGTTTGTAAATTGGACCTTGAGAAGGCTTATGACTTAGTGGATTGGAGTTTCCTAAGGGAGGTTTTGAGGAATTGTAGCTTTGGGGATAGGTGGTGTAATTGGGTGAAAGGCCGCATTAGTTTTGCTCACTTTTCAGTGTTGGTAAAGGATGTGGTTAAGGACTTATTTCCAGCTTGTAGAGGATTAAGGTGGGGAGAAATCCCCTTTTGCCCCTTTATCTTTACCTTCGTTACAAATGTTTTTAGTAGGCTACTTTCAAAGGTAGATAGGGAAGAGACAAAAGAGGTTGGAGAATAGGAAGGAATAGAGTCCCAGTGACCCATCTCCAATTTGCGGATGATACTATTATTTTTAGTGAGGGGGTGACCTAAGGAAAGTGAGGAATCTCAAATTAAACTTTGATGGGAGCAGTTTTGGCAACCCGGGCACGGCTGGAATTGGTGGGGTCATTAGAGATGACATGGGGAATGTAGTGGGGCTGTTTTCTGACCCTATTGGATGGGAAGACTCCATTACAACTGAACTAAAAGCTCTGGTTTTTGGTATACAAAAAGCCTCGGAAATAGGTGTAAGGAAGTTGGTTGTAGAAGGCGACTCCAAAGTGGTGATAAGCTGGCTGAAGCAGGATGGAAAGGCTCCATGGGTATTCAGAAATGAGATTAAGAAAATTAATCACTTTACAAAGGATATGCAGGTTTTATCGATAAAAAAAAGGATATGCAGGTTTTATTTCAGTGGACTCTAAGAGCAGCAAATGGGTTTGTGGTCCAGCTAGCAAAGCAAGGGGCTAATAGGGAACATTGTTTTTGGGCTCTGTTGTAAGACTATAAAGCAAATCTTAGGTGGAATGCCTTTGGACATTGGGGTAGCCGAGGCTATCCATTCTCTGTACTAATATTCATATCTTTTTGTTAATAAAATCATTTTCACTAATAAAAAAAGAAGAGGGAGGGTTGGGAATAAGGAACTTGGTCCTAAAGAATGTAGCTTTTGTTAAGTGGTTGTGGAGATGGCCCTTAGAAAGAGAGAGGTTATGGGTGAGGTGATAGCTAGTATTCATGGCTGCCTGGAGAACGACTGGGATTCTGGTGTATCTCATCGGGGTACTTTGATTACTACTTGGAAAGCGATCCACAGTATCCTTTCCCAATTTATTAACTTTGTTAGGTATGATACTTATTCTAGGAACTCTATTTTGTTTTGGGAAGACGTTTGGGTGGGTTCTTCAGCCCTCAAAGACCTTTTCCTGGCATTCTATTCCATCTCCTTGTTTAAGCATAAGGTTGTTTCCCATTTCCTCCCATACCCTTTTCCCCGATGTCCTTGAATTGGAATTTTGGTTTTCGTAGGGGTTTAAGGGATGCTGAACTTGATATTGTTTTGAAACTTCTTTGTGTCCTAGATAGTGTCTCTTTAGATCCCCTAAAGCGGACAAAAGAATTTGGTCCCCCCATCCTAAAGGTTTCTTTACTTTTGTGCCTCTATATTAAAGGTTTTGGACTAGGTCTAATCCCCCTAAAATCACTTGGTGCTGCTGGGAAGTGTTTCTTGGGAAGATTAATACTTTGGATTGATTGCAGAAGAAAGTGCCTGTCCCCTCTTGGTGTATTCTTTGTAAAGCAAATGCTGAGGATTGCTTCCACTTAATAATTTCATGTACCTTTGCTGCAGCTATTTGGGTTTTGGATTTTTGCCTTGTTTGGATGTAGGTGGAACCAACCTGCGGATATAAGCCAACTCTTTGATCCATTGGCTTTTGTGTGGCCCAACAAAAGAGGAAGAATTATGTGGAAATGTATTAGAGCTGTGACAGTTTGGAGGAAAGGAATGCAAGGATTTTCCAAGAAAAGGAACAAAGTCTTTTCTTTATCAAGGAGCGTATCTTAACAAGGGCAATTCACTGGCTGAAAACTCCGGATTCTTTCCAATTGCTCACTTTTGACAACTTTTGGAGGATTTGGTTAGCAGTGGCAAAGAGCTCCTCCAGGAAGGAAAAGGTTATTGTTTCTTGGACCCCACCACCTGACGGTTGGGTAAAGTTGAATTTTGATGGAAGCAGTCAAGAAAACCTTGAACCCTCAGGCATAGGAGTCTTGAGAGATAAGGACAGCAACATCTTACACTTAGGTCCAGTGGGAGTAGGAGACTCAGTCAGGGCTGAATTATTGACGGCTTTACAGGGTATTCAGATAACAAACCATTTAGGAGTTGGGCATCTTCTCATCGAAGGAGATTCTAAGATTGTTGTCGGCTGGTTAACAGAGCTGGGATCAGTCATTTGGTGCTACAAGGATTTCCTAAAAAGGCAAGATGGTTAACTAATAATATGCCTGTTAGCTCACATTGGGTGACTAGGTCAGCAAATGCTTTGGCTAATCTTCTTGCTTAAGAAGGGGTTTTGAGGGAACATCTGTACTGGGCAACATTGTAATGTTTTTTGGTGTAGCTTTTACACTTTAATCTCAAGGGAGGTTGAACCTTGTGCCTCCCCTTGGGGCTTGGGGTGCTTGTAACATTTCTGATATATCATTAATAAATCTCTTTTCAATTATAAGAAAAAGGTCATTAAGGGCCATCCTCCAATTTTGTTCCTGGCTATCTGGATCTTGGGAGGTGTGGACTGGATATGGACCTAAACTTTGGTAATTTTTGCATGAAGTGGCCACTCTCATTAATATGGTCACAAAGAGATCATAAGTTCATTATTATATTAAATTTTATTTCTTTAAACTTGTAAATGTGTACGTTCTTTTGCATGTGGCAATTTTAGATGATGATGATGATAGTAATAATGTGTCTAAAGTTTTCTACAATTTTATATTTTGTGTATGGAAATAATTCTTATTTATTGCAATTATTTTTGTTTAACATGATGAACATATAATATTAGAGATGTGCCCAAATATTTTCTACAAAATTTTGATATTTTTTTGTAATTTTTGTGTTTTGATCTTTTTTATTTCTATTATTTAATTATGACATCATGGGTTGATCATTTGACCTGGATGTTGGAATTGCTTACTTGCCACCTTGACAGAACTCACAGAAGAATGGTTTCATTTTTGGGTCAGTTTAAAAAAACATGGGCTTTATAATGTTAAAAGTTTGGATATAAATCTAATTAGTAGAATTTATTAGTAAGAAGTCATCATCATAATACATTAAATAAAGGATTAAATGAGAGGAAATTGAACGAGTTAATTAATGCTTTAAATATGGGATTAAATGAGAGAGAATGGGAATTAATGCCTTAAATATAAGATTTAATGAGAGGAAATTGAATGAGGTGAAAAGTAGTACTTCAAATTACATTTTCTGTCCTCACAATTAGTCAATTAGAGAGGTAGGGGTATTTTGGTTAAAAAAAGTTCTACAAGCATATTCATACTTGTAGTGTAGATATAGATAGGATAGACAGTTCCGAGCTATTCTTTTGAACAACGATGAGCAACATTATTTGTATTAGAACTTCTTGAAGTTGAGATTGTTCAACCATCAGATATTTGATCAAATGAAAAACTAATAGCTATGCAATTTTGGTCTAACAATGCTTTTCATTGCCAGCTTCCTGAAGAACGGAAACTGGACTTACTCAAGAACCTTGCAGAAAGCTCACCTTATACAACACCACATGATTCACGTCAGCTTCTTCCATCTATTGTTCAGCTTCTTAAGGTAAAAGCTATAGAAATTATGCATGGATAATATTCACATAAAAAGAATTCGTACTTGGTTATTTAATTCATGGGTCATGGTGTCGACTATCGGCAACACTTTTACCACTGCTTTGCATCTTTGTTTTTTGATGCTGCAATTTAACCATATGCAATTCAATCTCACAAAAAAAAAATGTAAATGACATATGTCATGTGGGAGGAAAATTTAAGTTGGGTTGCCTGTCTGTATAGCCATCAAATTGTCATTCCTAGTTAGTAGCTCTATCACCCCCCTTCTCACTCATTGTTTTAACCTTTATTATTTAGCCATATGGAGCATCCGTCTCATAAAATTTCCCTCTGTTTCCGTTTTTTGGCAGAAATACATGCCTATAAGAAAGGCTGGAGAAGAAATGAATTTTACTTACGTGGAGTGTTTGTTGTACACCTTTCACCATTTGGCTTCAAAGGTTATTTAACATTTATGGTTCTTTTTTTCGACATACTTTCATGTTTATTATTTCTTGTTGACACTTACTTCTTTTTTGTTGTTATACAGACTCCTAATACAACAAATAGTTTGTGTGGTTATAAGATAGTGACTGGTCAACCATCAGACAGACTTGGAGAAGACTTTTCTGAGAGTTATAAAGATTTCACTGAGAGGTACCTTATACCATAGAGTCTTCTCTGTTTTTTTGGCAGTATAAAATTTATAAAAGGTACATCAAAGATTACAACAAAACAGTGGTTAGAGATTACCTGAACGACAGAAAAAACTCTAACCAGAATTCAGCCTTGTACAATATGCAAAGCATTAAAATCACCATGTCGACCACCCATTGCCCTATAGTGTACTCCAAATGTCTATTGACATCTCTGAATTTTAGAAGGATAAAACCCAGTCCAACAACTTTGAACCAAGGATCAAAATATTGGGAGCATTGTATCGTATATTTTGGATTCCAAAAGGGAACCCTCTTTTTTTGTAATGAAAAAATATATAAAATCCTACCCAAAAACCAATTTTAAAAAACTAAAAAAATATAAAAGTGCAAGGTTTTTACTACTGATACACCTCTATCGATACACAGGGGCATATCAATATTTTGAACCTTGCTTTGAACTAACCCTCGAACATATCTTCATCCTGTTGCTTGCTTTTCCTTCAATGATTCTCTCATTCCTTTCTTCCCATAGCTCCTGACATACTGCAAACAGAACACAGCTCCAGAAATTTTTTGCTTTTTTTTATTTCCTTATGAAGGCCAACATGCGAAAACCTCACTAGGCCAACTTGGCCCCACAGCTTGAAATCAAATAACCAAAAGAAGCCCCAAACAAATTGTGAAAATCTGCAGCCAAAACATAGATGGAGCGTATCTTCTTTCTTTGATCCAAACAAAGTACACGTGCTAGCCAGCTGCACCCCATTTTTCTTAAGATTGTTTAGCGTAAGAATGCCCCAAACACACTTCTCCACTGATCTTTCAACCTGATTTCTCGACAAGGCTATATAGAATGGCTTTTTTTTTTTAAAAAAAATGGAAATGTTAACTTTCATTACTGAAATAGATAAACGTACAAATGTCAACCACTCACTACTAGAGTATATGCCCCGTAGGCCCCAAAATTAACTCAATGATTACAGTGCAGCCCAAAACAGATTTTCCCTATATAAGCTAAACCATTAGCTGATCTCCTGATCCACTTGAAGAGTATCCCAACCTCCCTTGCATAGCTGAAAATTTCCCTCATTTGCAGTCTAAAACTCCAAGCCCAAAACTTTCTTTCTGCAACGATCCTAATAGCAACTTTGAGCCCCCTTCCATCTCCAGATCATGAAAGTCTCTTTTTTTAGGCAGCCTCAAGCCTTGAAGTAAGGCCATAATCTAAGCTCTTAGTGAATCTCCCATCCCTATTGGTCCAGCATACAACCAGTCTACCCTCCCCATCTCTGAATACTCCCTTCACTCCAGAGGGGCTCAGATTACCCAAGCTATTCTTTCATTCCTTCCATTGCAAATCTGATATGTTTGTTTCCATTGAGTGAACACGGATACGAGAGTGTCCTGTGTATTTCTCATTTTTCAGTTCATTGTCATAAAGCCTTATCTCAACTATATGGGCTTGGCTATCATGATGATAAGAGTTTTGCAAAGGTTTTAAATACTGGTAGCCAACCTGATTTAACCCCGCTTCTATCGCTTGGGACTGGCACTGCAAGACAAGCTCACATTGGCAGAATTTAAAACTGATTTGCATCTTTTAGTTCTGTTGAAGAATCATAGGGATTACCTGTTTGGATATTCTCTAAAAACTTAGTGCTATCTGCCTTTCCATTATACAAAATGAAAAAAGGCTGCTTGCATTGGGAAATGTATTATCCTAATTCCAGAGAAAGTGCTCTTTGGTGTTGACTGTTTTTTGAAGTTTTTTACGAGAAGAGGTAAGGAAGCTTCTCTTTAGTGCATAAGTTGGTTAAGGAGACCCTTATGAACAATTTGACATTTTACCAAGAAAATAAATAAATAAATACCATCTTATGCAACTTCATATCCCATCTGCAACAGGCTAGGTCACCAGGGGATGACATGCTAGGGGAAGATTAAAAAAAGTGCATTACCCAATGTTGGTCCCAGCCATCTGGGGTCCTTGGGAGAGGTGGACTGGATATGGACCTAACTTAGGGATGCAACTTGAGTTGGGAATTTGCTAATTTTTCAATGGACCTGAACCCTAACCCAATGCCAACATAGTTGAAATTCTGCAGCCACAGACCAAACCTTTGTTATATTTTTCTTTCATTTACACAAAGTGGCCACTCTCAGACTTGAACTTGCGTTCTTATGCTCATCATCCTGAGATTTTCCCAATACACCAAGAATGTTCATATTAGGGGAAGATTACTAAGGGGAAAAAAGATCTGTGCTTCAGTTACAGAAAAAGGATGGAAAATTGTTACTTCTTGCTGCATAATCTTGTCTTTCTGGTACCAAAGTCTCCTCCCCCAAAGCCAAGTATTTTGATACTGGCTCTTCATGGTTCAGTGGTTTCCCTCTTTGAAGTGGTTCTATGAGTGGCTCAGATGATGTTATCGATGAATTGGTAAATATCTTGGATAAAAAACATTATAATAAGAAAACTTGGATAAAGACTTTCCTGTTTTTCCCTTGTAGCTTAATTAGTAATGGCAATGGGATGGGCGGGGGCAGGAAGCCACTCCCTATCGCCGTCCCCGTGAAAATACTTATCCCTGTCCCCACCAGAAGGGACAAGGTTATCCCCATCCCTGTGGGGATCCCCACTCCCTGTATTTTTTTTTTATGATATCAATCATTTAGTTTTTGTTTTTTATTTTATTTAAAAATAAAAAATATAGTAGTTAGAATTTGCTCTGTTAGAAAAGATCGAATATATTCAAACATATTCAACCATATTTTTAAAATACTAAAAATATGGTTGATTGCTCTCCCTGTCCCTGGCAGCGGGGATGAAAGTTTCCCCATCCCCATCCCCATCCCTGCAGGGGGGAAATCATCCCCATCCCCATCCCATTTGGTTAGAAGAAATTTTGGGATGGCTAGTGCAAAAGTTTAAACTAGTTACTTGGTCAAAATTGTTAGGTTAGGTGTTTGGTATGAGGTTTCTCTAGAAGGATAAGATCAACATTGTTATGGTCGACGGTAATGCAGATTGAGTAATGTAGAGGATCTAGCCAGGGCCACCATGAAGAAACTAACCCAGGGAATGGCAGAGCACAACAAGGCAATGGCAGCTGCTAAAACCGATGAAGCAAAAGCTAGCATTGTAAGTTTTATTTTATTCTTTTTATTTTAAAACTTGATATTTTGTCGAGTATTAGCATGGTGTGTGGAGCCATCTCTTATATTAATCACAATCATTCTTTCTGTTCTTCGCAGAAAGTAAAAAAACAGAATACTACAACAGGATTGCGAACCTGCAATAATATTCTCGCAATGACCCAGGTTAATGATGAAAAAAGACAAATTCCTGTTTGATTTATATTTGTATTTTGTATCTTTGCTTGACAGTTTCACTTCTGCTGTATTCAGCCATTGCATTCAAAATCACCTTCATTTATTGGTGATAAGAAAATCAATCTCTCATGGAAAGAAGTGGCAAAACCTTCAACACCATCAACGACTGCTCCAGTGGGGTAAAAAAAAATCTTTGCCATGTACTCATCTCATCATGTTCTGTGTTTTGGTGCTAATTGTCATTGCACTTGCCTTGTAGGGGTAAGCGAACTGCTACAGATACTAATGGTTCAGGTGCTCCAATAAAAAAAGGACGGGGTGTGGGTGGTGTGCAGAACCAACTTGTTAACAGGGCTTTGGAAGGTTTATCTCGTGGGGGCAGAAGTGGTGGAAGAGGTAGGGGTTGGGGTGGACGTGGCCGAGGAAGGGGCTATCGCTAAAAGTTTGGTTTGCTTGGTTCAAGGTGATAGCCATAAAGAGATGTTCATCGAGTGTACCATTGTCTATTCCCTTGGTATTCAGCTTCTCATGAATTCTGATCCCTAGGGAAGGACGCTAACTAAGGTTTTCTGAGGATTGTCTAACCGAGAGAATCGGAAGGGATTGGGCTTGGCATTCTCAGTCCTGCTGGCTGCGACCTGTAGAAGGATAGAATTTTAGTTTTTTAGTCTTTTAACCCTGTTTTAGACTAATTGTTCTCTAACTCACTGTTCTAGTGCATGCAAAATCTTACCTGACTAGATGAGAACACCTTTCTTCTATTCTACCAATTGAAATGCAAGGCTTTGAAATTTTCTCAATTGAAATTAGGCATGTGGTTGATATTTAGCATTGTCACTGAATCCATTTATGTAAAGGCAAGTGGGATTCAAGACAATGTTACTATGCTGTCTGCAGTTTAATACCAAGAAATGGCGCATTTGCATGGGACAACATGCAAATTTTCTGGGTGGTTTGATTCGGTTCGCTTGAACTCCTGGTTTGTTTTCAGCGTTGAATGATGAAAAATTTCAGTTAAATAATTAATCTGGCTCCTCGAGATCAACATGCTGCGACTGCCAAACAAGGACAAGGAGCGAGATGTCTTATTGGCCAGGGCCAGGAGGAGCTGATTGCTTTGTTGTAAATGATTGAACAGGACCACCATGACCATCCTAAAAAAAGGCCAACGATTCGGTAAGGTACTTTACTGTACTGTATTTGATCTTTCAGTGCTTGAGCCAAGTTGGTAAATAAAACTGGAAAGAGCCAAGTAGTAGTAGATTTGATGAATTTAACATTCAGATTAAAGTTGATCCATGATCGCGAAGTGGGGCAAGGCCAAAAAGTCCAGCATACGGAAAACATATATGAAGGGGACCTTAGCTTTAGATAGTCCAAAGTTGCAGAAGCTTGGCGTTAGGCTTTCACCAGTAATTTGCCACAGAGAGCAGAAGTTTGGTGTGAGACTTCACCAGTAAATATGGTGAGGTTTCACCAGTTAGTACCATTTGCCCGTTTGAGAGGGTTTTCCCGCAGTGGCTTCCGGCCTTACAAGGTTGGCCCCATACGGAAATCCATGAAGCTGTGTTTAGTGAAAACCCCAGAGAGTTGAAAAATACTGTCGTTGAGCTGAGGACTAGATTTTCCATTGAAGCTAGTTTTGGTAACTTCTCTGAAATGGGCTCTACTGTGTCGCCAGATTTCGATCCCTCAAGAAGTGTGCATTCTCTCTAGTTTAAATCAATATGATTTTCAAGCATCTGCTCTGCATAGTTTTCTTCTGATGGGCTCACGCTAGATAAGTGCTTGGTGGAATTTATGTTTTTATAATTAACAGTTGAAATTCTACCAATCAACAACAGAAAAAAAAAGGTCGGAATTCTGATTGGGAGCATTGATCAGCTTGTAATGTTGCAAGTAGGTTTGTCGCCTCACATCACATGGGAGAAGTTGAGGGCAGTTTGTATGGTGAATCAGTTCTGTTAAATAGCATTACAACAGTATAGTTTTATTTCCATTATTGGAGCCATTGAGGACCACTCATGTGCCAGAGAGGCCCTTGACGGTTAAGGTGAAGAGATTCTCTGAGTGCGGCGTTTCAAAACCTGATTCGAACTGCTTTTCCCTTCCTTTAATGTAGATGGGTCACTGGTTCAACAATCTGGGTCATTGGGTCAACTCCTGACCTTATGAAAATAGATAATATTCGACAAAGATAAAATAATACAAAACTTGGTAACCTGATGAACGGGTTAATGGTTCAACTATGTGGGTCATAGGGTTTATTAACTAATTTAATGGTTCTGTGTAATATGTTGGCTCCCAGCCTCCCAGGACCAAGGTTAGACCGGAACCGTGACCAGGTCACCACCCAACCGGCCGAGTCAACCTCGAGTTGAAAGCATTGCTCTGATGTAAGTTTGAAGGCTCTGAAAAAGGTAAGAGTGTATTTAGGATTTATCACATAGAGGATAACTGGATAAGGTCTCTGCTAGTATTTGATTTGTGGTACAGAATTCGGAAGGTTGCAATTGCAAATTTCACATTTTTCTGAATCCCAAAAGTCCGGAAAAATGAAAAGAGAATAGTCATTTAAATTATGAATAATGAATGCAGAAATGGGATTGAATTTCATTTTGTCAAAGGCAGCGTTATATTTTACCATAGAAACGACAGTATTATATGTAAGGCAAAATCTATGGTGCATCAACTGCATTGTGCAGTGAAAGATGTGAACTCTTAAGCAGTTTGATGGCAAGTGCATTTGGCATTCAGGACTTATCTCCTTTTTACTGTTAATATGTCTTCATGAACACTGAGTTTTTAACTACAAAAAGGTGATAAATTCTTAAAATAAAGAATGTTAAATGCACCCTTTATAAAACAAGAAAATATATTTTGTAAAATATTAATCAATGAAAATTAAATAGACCATATGACACCCTTAATGCAATCGATTGAAATTGGATTTGACATATAGCAAATATTACTTAATGATATATATATATATATCATTGGATCATTCAACCACTCATTCTTAATGGTTTGAATGGCTCAACCAAGACATGGTTCTTGATGAATTGGGATCTGCTCCTCACAGCTACATCTCACCATGTATCAGAAATATCTTCCCATGAATAATAAATACAAATACAGAAGATGTTCCTTATGTGTAGCCAGGACATGCCATGAAATCGGTGTGAAGAGCGCTCTGTGAGGAGCAGATCCAGACTCATTCTTGATGGAGTTGAAAATTTTGTATGAAAATAAAGCTTTGATGACCAATTGACTTTGAATGATCCGACTGTCAGATCTGGACCAGTTTTCCAACTACTATCTAGTTTGTAAAGGAATGCGAGTTACTTTTATGCCCTAGTGTAATCATCCAAATTAACTTCTTCATGCCTTCAACACCCCCTCCTTCCTGCAAGTTAAAAGGGGGCAATAAGGCCCACAGATAGGGTGTCAATGGAACCGGATTTGGTCCAATCCAATCCGGTCTAATATGAGTCAATTTCAGATGAACCAGGTCTAATCCAATCTGATGGATGCATTAGACCATTTTGGTCTGGTCTAATTTAAACCAGATATTGGTTCAATCCGACCCAATCCAACATAAATCCATTATGGGTGGATCAGGTCTAATCCAATCCAATAAACACTTTAGACTATTAGGTCTAGAGTGGTCCTCAATTTTGATATGGACGGGGTACAATCCAAAATTGATTCATTGATACTCTACGCAGAGGCAGGCCAAAATGGACATAGGTTGAAATAGCAAGGAAAATAACAAATATGACACTAAACCAGACAGAATGACAAAAACAGGATACAAGTAGCTGAGCCAACCTAGTTGGTGGGCTAAGGCTTAGATAATAACGATGTACCACCTGACTGTAGTAAATTAGCTATATAGGATGACTATTAAATGTTCCTCCAAACATCTATGTCATGTTCTTTGGTAGTTTTTACAGGTAAATCAGATCTCCAAAACAAGATTTTAATAGTGCCTATTGTAATAGTAACAGCCCCAAAGATCCTTGCGTTGCATTTGCATCTATATTAATAATAGTCTTCCTTCATATATCATCAAATTAAGCATATTATGTATAGCCAAGTGGCAATAACATATTAGGGGAGGGTACGTTTGCACGTGGCTGATGACGTGGCAATGAGGTTTTGCAAACCAAACTCTCGAGTCTCTATGTGCGTCAGTTCCTTAAAACTCGTGTAGACTAGTAGGTATTGTTAATTTTATAAAACCAGTTTGTTTTGGCTCTGATTGTTCTTTTCTTATTTCTGGAAAAAAGAAAACCTTATGGGGAATTAAAAATTTAAGTCCAACTTCATGTCCACAGGTACCGAGGTGAGGTTCCTCCTGATACAAGTTAAATTATGAAAAAAATTTATGCAAATGTAGAAATAAATCACTAACCACCATCTTAATAAACTGAATAAATTAATGATCAAGATTCAAGCGTCCTGTTTCGATACTTCTCATGTACGTTGTGGGTCACGAGACTGGGCCCAGTTTTAGATGGGCCCCTCTTCGGAGATTGCATAGATAAGAAATCTTTTGTTTATTAGTTTGTATGTATAGTTGTAATGAATAATTCTATGATAATATGTAAGATTTTTTTTTTTTAAATTTAATTGTGTAAAGGAGTATGAGCAAACAAATTAAACAGTTGTATCCACATGAGGATATTTATTTTGTTTTTGGGATTAGAGATCTCTTAGGTGTGGTGGGTTTAATTAAATATGGGGTCTTTCCTCCACATGCCTGTGTGAGTACAATCCCTCCTTTGAAGGAAAAAGAAAAGAAAGGAAAGAATATCATTCAAAAACAAGCAGCTCTGAAGTGAAGAAAGTTTAGGGTTTTCCACAGAGTTTTCTACTTTCTTTTATTCTTAGGAGGGAGGAATTTATTGACCCATTCTGTGTTTTGAAGCTTGGAATTAAAGGCCCATCTAGACTGTTCAATTGATAGAGCACCCTTTGGTTAATCAAATGTCCAGTTGTTGTGTTGTGCCTTAAATTCTTTGTTGTACCCCGTTCCATGTCCAATCCGTATTTGTGGAGAAAAGCCTTCCATGAGGCAAAATTTTATAATAATATACGGTGGAAGCGGAGCCCGTATGGACGATCCATTTTCAGTTTATGGACTGACTCGAATATGTTATGTTAAGTTGTTGGGGTTTTCTATTTGATGGAAAAATTTATGATGCAGAAAAGATATAGTATGGAAAGAGTTTTGATCAATTAAAACCCATCCATGAATTTTGATAAATAACACCATGTTTCTTATCATGTTTATGATTTTAGTTTATTGGTAAGTTGATTTTTGGATATCATATCTTTTCCATATCATAGTCGACCCCTATTTGATGTATCTTTACTTGTATAAAAAGATAGAACAAGTGTATAAATGAGAGCTCGGGGGTATTGTTATTTAGGCCCGTTCACTTTTGAAGTAGTTATTTACTCGGATAAATGCATTTACCCGAGTAAATGTATATATTTATGTTCTTTTATTTCCTAGGTAAATAAGATAATAGTCGTTTTATCCATAAAATTGATTATTAAAAGGGGAATTTTTGTCCCATCCAAGTATTGCCAACTTTTCCCCAAGTGGGAAAGTTATTTACCCACCTTAGAGATGGGTATCACTTTCCAAGAAAAACAAATTTTCTATGGACCCCATGTAAATATGAAAAAAGAACATGGATATCTTGATTAGTGGGAACCAAAAGCCCATTAACCAACTTTCCCCCCTCTCAAAACCCTAAAAGCAAACAGAAATTTTTTATGAGAGTGAGATTGTACAACTTTGTATTCTTCATTGTTGTTTTCTATAGTGAATTTTTGTTTCTTCGTCACCATGGTTTAGGGTTGTAATCTGATTAGATTCAGCAAACTCCGATGCCAATCCAGTTATGGAAAGCTTGCATATCCGATTTAAAGACCTAGCATTTGAATTCGAATCCTAATGGATTCGGATTTAATTTGACTCCACTTTAAATTTTCTTTAAATATAAAAAAATTAAAAATTTATTTACTTTTCAATTTTTATATATAATAAACTAATGTAAATGTACACACTGAATTTCTTATATATAGATCCATTATAATATAATATATAAAATCTATTATTATCATTTTAAATATAATTAAATAAAATCTATGGGGAAAGGAAAAAAAAAAGAAATAAAACATTTACAAATATTGTATAGGTTTTCCTGTATTTCCTTTCTTTTCCTTGTTCAAACCAAACATAGCGTTAATGTTTCATTCTTCCATGGACACCTTTATCCAATAAAGTAATCTAATTCTTCTTCAAATTTTCATAATTAACAGCAATTTACAGTTTATGAGGGGCATGTCACGTCAAACAAAAGTTCTTCTGACCATGTTCAGTGGTTGGATGGCTACTCAACACATACCTGGTGGGGATGCAACTGCTGATACGGCTCTGTCGTCCCTATTCAAAACATTATTATTATTGTTTTTTTTTCACCAGAATACCTTTACAAAGAGGGAAAGTAATCCAGTAAATGATTGAATCTCTCAGTTGGACAAGGCCAGTAAAGGATAAGCATATTCATCTACTGGTGATTGCTGTTTGGGTCCTTTAACTTGCCAGGTGTCACAAACATGGAGTGTCAATTTGAGCATCACTTTGGAGCTTTCAAGAAGTAGCAATAAGACTCTTCTCACAGCTTGGAACATAGACAGTAAAAGCTGTGAAGGTCACAGTCAATGAACAAAAACAGTTTTCACCCAGAAGAGGGACAACATTGGTTGTCCTCCTAAGGTGGACTCCCATCACAAATCTATATAAAATATGTAAGTTTAGCCTGGTTCGACCACTTGACGAGGTTTGTCTATAACCAATTAACCAGTAATCAACTAGGACAGAGCCACAGAGAGGCCGGAGACGGCTCATAATGAGGTGTATGCATGGGATCCATACAGAGAGCTTCCACAAATGGTTGCAAGCGGTGATCTCCATCTACTACTATTTTATATACATCTGCCTTTCCTTTTCAGACTTAAAGGGATTAAATTACTATGTCTGGTTTGCTTCTTCTCCCCTCCCTTCGCATGCCCTAGTGCTTTTCCATACTCCACCACCAACCATACAATTAAATGTCCTCCCTCCTTGTACGGCACATTGGAATTTTCTTTGGGAACTCAAATTCCATTAAAACCCACTAAAGTATTCTATTGAAAAATCAACATATGTGGAGAGAGAGAGAGTTTTGAAGGTTAATCTGTACCCAACTTAATGGATATGGTTCCTTATTCCTGATTCCTTGTTTAAGGTACACAGAACATCAGTATGGCCTGGAAACAATTAAGGTGTATGGTCCTGGACATGGATGGACTGGACACCACTAGGTCTGATCCTAGACATACATGCAACAGCTACCACATGACTACATTCATATTTATCAAAAACCGGTCCATAGTCCGGACGACAAGTTGGACAAAGGACGGTCTGATCAGTCCAACTTGACCGTATATGAACATGCCATACCCCAATTAGATGATGAACATTTTATTTAACCCAAGATTGACTCGAAAAAATCTTGGTTAATTTACCCAATGTAAATGTACCCGAATCAAACCAAGCTTGGGAAATCAAAACAGAATTAATACAGTAACTGTTCTATGAATATATACATACTTCACCAAGGAATTGAAAGACAACATACTGATTGAATGGTCAGGATCACCCAATCAATGCAATTTCTTCTCTTCCTTCTTTTGGGTTTTCTAACTTAATTATAATCCCATCAAAGGGATCAACAAATTGAATAGAGTGGTTATTTTTTTAATTAAGATGGGCATCGATCAAAAAATCAAAATCAAAGTCCTAATGTCGGTAGAGGGAGTTCTGAGAAGCTCTTCTCTGTTAAGCACGGCTCCACCTTTTTCTCTAATCATTATTGTTGTCCCCTCAAAACTTCCATTAATTAACAACAAAAATGCCAATTTAAATCGATCTGAAGCTGAAGGTGTCCAGAAACAGTGAGGAAAGGAAAAGTGGCGCAATACATTGCCACCATGTGAGCATGGTTTTGGGACAAAGCAAAGAAAGGTGGGGGCGTGCAAGCAGTTCACATGGGCAGGACATGATATGATGATACCAACAAGCTCCCTTCTTTCTTTCACAGCTCATTTCCCAAATCCCACAAGGCCCACCCTAGCACTATCCCACACTATATTTTATCTTCTCAAGGGTTTATATCCCATGTTCCTCTCCTACTCAATCAACCGAAGAATCACCAAGAAACAAGAAACAAGTGGGTCAATCCAAAACTATAAGGTATTGTTATTTATTATAGGGTAGGAAATAGGAATAATACCTATAGAAATAACCAAAAGGGGTCTCTAGATCCATCAAATGGTGGTGACCCACTTGTTTGATCCGACGGTCTAGGTTTACCATGAAGGGTTTCGGTGTGTAGGGGAAGGGTGTATGGGGGGAAAGTTGGTGAATGTTACTTATGAGATTATTATAAGCTCCGGCCAAAGAGAAGGTCACATCGGCACGTGGTCGCTGATTCCGCCAGTTATTAAACTAGTGCGACTTTCCAGTAAAACCGTTGAGACCCAACCCCTCCCCAGCTGTAGCTAGCTGTCCCAATCTCCCATGTGACCGTCCCCTCCGAAACCTCTGGGCCTAAAAAAGAGAAGCCAAAAATAATCAAACTCATACAAATGATGAAAAGAAAGGAAGGAGAACAAACAATGCACGGAGACAGAGAGAACCACCGCCACCACCAGTCCACCACCAACGTCAGACTCTAAGTGTAATCATTTGACAAGAGCTAGCTGCGGTTCACAAGCACAAGCACAAGCAAGCTTCAGCTGAAGTAGCAGCAGTATCAGCAGAAGCAAAAGCAGAATAGCGTTGTTATTGGGGTGGTCGTCGTTTGTGTTGCTTACGTTGTTGTCGCTCTCATCTCTAGCTAACATCATATATCCCAAGAATTGTGTTTGTGTTGTGTATAAGAACGTTTTGTAGGGTTGGTTGGTTGGTGTCTGTTTGGGTTTTCTTTCATTTGGTTTCTGTCTACACCTTTTCGTCATCTCTTTCTTCCTCTCTTTCCCTTTAAATTGTGTTTGTTGTATAGATTGAATTAATGGCACAGTTGCCTCCCAAAATCCCAAACATGGCACCCAACTGGCCTAATTTTCCTCACCAGAAGATGCCCGGCATGGGCAGCTTGACGCACAGCACCATCCAACAGCCCTCTTGGGTTGACGAATTCCTAGACTTCTCGTCGGCGAAGCGTGGAGCTCACCGGAGGTCTGCCAGCGACTCAATTACCTTCCTTGAAGCTCCCATGATTGAAGAATGTCGCAATTCTCCGTCCTCATTGAAGCCTGGCAGTAATGAGTTCGAGAGGCTGGACGACGAGCAGCTCATGTCTATGTTTTCTGACGACATATCCGGGAATGTACCTCCGACGGGGTCGTCGTCCAACCCCTCTACGCCCTCGGATCACAACAGCATTAACGACGAAAAGCCGACGCCCTCTGACCAGCAGGAAAGGAATGAATCTGCCGAGGTCCAGAGCTCGTGTAAACCAGACCCACAAGTCCCCCCGCCGTTATCTTCTACCGGCGAACCTATCGTCGATCCCAAGAGGGTCAAGAGGTAACAAACTGATAATGCTATTGAATTCTATATGCTTATCTCCCACCCTCAAGCCTCATATCGTTGAAGTCCTTGAATTATCTTAATTACTTCTCAACTGTTCATCTTGGGGTGGTTTTGTATCAGGATTTTAGCAAACCGGCAATCTGCACAGAGGTCGCGAGTGAGGAAGCTACAATACATCTCCGAGCTCGAAAGGAGTGTAACAACATTACAGGTGCGAGACAATTCAATCTCATTGATCTCTTACTCACATCAATTATCACTAATTTACCTTACTTATCTGAATTTTGGTTATCATATACTCTCAACCTACTGACTTCGAGCTATTTGCTTTCTAAAAAACGTGGAATTAATGAAGACGGAAGTATCAGCATTGTCACCAAGAGTTGCATTTCTAGACCATCAACGCTTAGTTCTTAACGTGGACAACAGTGCTCTTAAGCAACGGATCGCTGCTCTCGCTCAAGATAAGATTTTCAAAGACGGTAAGCGTTAAGTTACTTAGCAATTAAGCTTAAAGCAAGATTATATTGTTCTTCGTGGGTTGCTCATGAACAGTACTCTGCAAATTTTGCAACTTGAGCAACAAGAATAGCTGTAATTCTCTCAACATGTTTGATGGTTGGTTGTTTGGGTGGATTTTTGGAACAACCCAACGACATATATGCTTTATTTTTGGTAAAGCATTGATGGGTATTTATCTTTTCTGTGATAAAGTTACTGCATTTATGTGCCATAACTTTATTAGGAAAGGTAAAGTGAGAGCCTTTTTTTTCCTTGGAGTAAGAACCGTTTGATGAGAGAATTAAACTGCTTACTTCATAAATGCAGCTCACCAAGAAGCACTGAAGAAGGAGATAGAGAGACTAAGGCAAGTGTATCATAATCAACAGAACCTAAAGAAGATGGGCAATAATACTAGACCACCACCTCCTTCAGACAACCCTGGTCCTGGTGGTGGTACTGAGAAGGAACAGTTGCTGAACTGAGGAAGAAAGGGAGAAAGTGAGGAGTGTGGGTACTGAGGGGGGAGGTGGAAGGCTATGAGGCTGTGGTGCATTCTGCTAACCTGCGCATTCACGTGATGTGTCTTGCTTTTGTGTAGGTGGGTCCTTGACAAGGTTGGCGGGTAGGAAAAGGACACGTGGACTTTATGGCTTCTTGAATGTTAGGGAAAAGATTGGGTGAGAAGATTGTTTTACTTGGGTGGGTGTTTAGGGAGGGGTAGTGGCGGTGGTGGTGATTCTTTTTGTATTGTATTTTCATTAAATTCTTTTTATAATTTTGTCTAAATTGCTTGGAAAGGGGAGGGGGAGAGGCAAGAGATGGTGGGAAGTGGGGTTCGTGTGTTGGGATGCATGAAAGACAAGATTGTCAGGGCTCTTCAATGTCTGATTGTTGTACCCTTTTCGGTTTTTATCTTCTTGGGGTGTAATGATGTTCTATGCCTTCTTTTATTTCTTCAAAAACATGTAGAAAAAAACCCTTCAATTGTGCTCAATTTTACTCCGGAATTCATCTTGTTTTCCACTCATACCCTTTTGTTTCTAATTATGCTAGCTATATGTCATTTCTATATATATATTTTGACGTAAGTAAGGGGGCGTTTGATGAGTGAAAACGTTTAGGCTATGTTTGGTTTGAGAGAAAATTTAGGAAAAAGAAGGAAAAGGTAAAAAAAACCTTTACAACTTTTGTATTGATTTTTTTGTCTTTTCCTTCTTTTTCCTACCTTTTCTTTCAAATCAAACATAACCTTAGGGTTTCTATTTTCCATATCTTGCCATATCATAGTGACCATGCGTGTTACCATTTCCTCAAAAAAACTGTAGAGGAATAAATAGTTATTCTAAGAGTTTGGTGGGGAGGGAATGTTTATTGAAGTGCTGGCTGGCTTTATGTGGCATTGACATATGACAATAATAATAATAATAATAATAATAATAGTAATAATAATAATAAAACAGGGGAGCTTATTTTTCAAGAAACCCTTGAAAAGAACGTGACAATATCAGAGTTTATCTCTACTAAAAGTGTTTTCATAGAAAATGGAAAATGGGTGTTTCCAAAGAACGCCTCACAAAGTGTTGATTTCTAAGGAATCATTTCTAAATGTTTCTTTTGGCAAAAAACATCTAAAATAACTCACTGGTAGGGTTCTTTTTTGGGCGGTGGTGGTGGTTAAAAATATACTATTGCTCTCTCCACCAAAAAAAAAAAAGAAAAATTATGACTAGTTTATTCCAAATAGTAAAAGTGTTTTCATGGAAAATGGGTGTTTCCAAAGAACGCCTCACAAAATGATTTCTAAGGAAACATTCTAAACGTTTCCTTTTTTGGGTGGTGATGGTAGCTAGACCTGTTCATGGGCCAGGTGGCCCGATGGGCCGGCCCAGCCCGGCCCGACCCTCAGACGGGCTTGAACAGGCTTTTTGGCCCGCAGGCTTAACCTCGGGCCAAAAAGCCTGGCCCGCATAAAATTCGAGCCGGGCTCGGGCTTTGCCAAAATAGCCCGACCTGGCTCGACCTGTAGTTAAACCTAAGTAAACCCGGCCCGACCTATAGTTAAACCTAAGTAAAAACCCTATGTGATGTCMRTTTGAATAAWYTTTTTKATTTGAGAAGGTTGTTGATTCACTTGTAGGCCCATTGTTCATTTAAATAGGGGAAAAAAACATTTGAACTAAAATAGATAATGTCTATTTGAATAAGAAAAAATTCGAATTTCTTTTATTAGGTCGGGCTTCGGGCTCGGGCCTAATGTTTTTCTGTTAATAAAGAGTTAAAGCCCGGCCTGGCCCGGCCCATGAACAGGTCTAATGGTTGCGGTGAGAAGAGGTTAAAAATATATTGTTTATCTCTCTCTCTTTCTTTCTCTCTCCAAAATTATTATTGCTTTATTGGAAAGAAAAGAAAATTGTCCAAAACTCCATCAGTTTTTTCGAATTCTCTTAAATCCATCACAACATTTTGAAACGTCAAAAATTCATCATCCAAAACTCATCATCCGTTACACCATCCCTAATGTTGAATGACCCAAGTTGTCCACGTCAGCCTAAATGAACATTTTATGACTGAATTGTTCCTGAATTAAATGGGATTGATGAGAGAATTAAATGGGAATGAGATCTATCCTCTCCGGTTAAAGAAAAAAAACAGTGTTCTTGCCAGAGTGTTTCACTGCTTTAAGAGACTCTTTTGAAGGTCAGGGTTGGAGGTTCATCACTGGTATAGAACGGACGGAAGCAAGGTGTTTTGAAATTTTGGGTCCATGTTCATTTAATTCCCTCCAGACATCTACTTGTATGGTCATTGTTTGTTTAATCCTTTTTTACTTTGACTAAATGTCAGAGTGTTCAGAAGATGGTTTCAGCCAATACCGTACGGAAATTTTTTAATCGCATCTAGTTTCCTCATCTCAGACGAAGGGAACAGTCTTGATGAGTATCCGACCGTTTCTTCTTATCAGACGAAGGTACGAGAGTTCTTCTTCTCCGAAGTTGCAGACTATTCTTCTTCTCAGAGACGCATTCTGTTCTTCAATCTCAAACAAAGGCAAAGCAGCAGCCGGTTGAAGAAGAAAGCAGCGGTTATTTTGGGTTGGATAATGACGGGGGAGTTGCAGACTGTTCATCTTGTTCTTCGATCTCAAACAAAGGGGAAACAGCGGCGGAAGGAGGAAGAAAGCAACGGCTAATGCTTGGGTTTTGGGTTGAATAACGACAGGGGTAGTTTTGGTATTGCAAAATGAATCGAAAATAATAAAGGGTAAAGTGGTAAATTAAGAATGTCCATTAGTGAAGTTACTGTTATCTTATTGAGAGGGTGAGTTTTTAAGAGAATTCGAAAAAGCTGATGGTGGGTTTTGAACAATTTGCCATTGGATGGTTTCATTCATCACTGTTATACATGGCAAGTTGGCAATACCATGGGCACACAGACTGTTGTATTGTGCATTAAGGAAGACGAAGATAAAACTGATTTGCTTGGCTGGTTCCCTCTGTATCAACTACAGGCGCAACCCTGTATTGATGATACTGTGGGAGTATCTAACCTCTCTTGGTCCACTAATCATACCATCTACACAATAAGGCAGAAGCCAAAAGCTTGGTTTTGGAGCCACAGAAGTGCATGCAAAATGGTTCAGGGCCCATAATTAACTTTGTCATATGTCGTCCCGTGCATGTTCCATCAATGGATGGGATTTGGGAACCCACCATTTAATCGGTTTCGAATGTGGCTCTCTGCATGGATGATGCAACTTGCAACCATGTGTTTTTGCTGCCAAGGAGAAAGAAAGACTCCGTTAAAATTTCTGGAAAGCTGAGACAATGATGCAGAGCAGAGGAGGAACCAGATGGTCAAAAGTCAATTCGATTGTGTTGATTTTGGTGCAGGGTCTCGGTTTGTGTCAGAGTGGGACTCATCTGCTGTTGACGCTGCTGATCCTCTCAACATTGAAAATATATGTCATAGTAATGAGCCCCCACAATCAACTATGGTCCCACTGTACAACAACCCCTCTGCTTTGCTGGATTACTTTGAATTTGGCGCTTGGTTTTACTGAAAACATGGGTGTCAGTCTACTACTCAATACTCATCTTTTTCTAGCTACAAAAGATGCACCGACCAGCCAGGAGAGTGAAGAATACCTAGGATTAATTATTATTTTATAAAACAGGTTAATTCTTTTTTTATGGGTTTTTTAGTTTTTTATTTCGATAAATGTTTAATTAATTAAACAAGTATTACCATGAATCATTCTTTTTCATTTTCATGGGATGCACTATTAAGTATTACCAAATTATAAATGTGGGTTTTTCTATTTTCATAGAACCCATCAGCTTATTGGTTGTTTCGATTTACCGAAACAAATGCCTTCTCCATAGAAATGAGGGTTGAGGACGCTAGCTTCAAAGGGTTCATGACAACATAAAAAGGATCCAACAATCTCAATGGTTATACGCTTGATGAGATGAGTAATGAGTATAGAAGAACAGGAGATCAAATATCATTTCCTTCCCATTCTTAGACCATCGAAAGAAAACCTGAGAACTAATATGGTAAACCAAATGTCAACCATGAATTTCAGAATGGATTATTCAGCTGTGGCCTGTTCCTTGCGTATAATGAAGTATATAAACACCATCTATTGCTAGCATAGGGAATCCTCTAAATCTCTAGAGTTAGAAAGCCTCTCAAATCATTTGGGATACCTTATATTCCAAAAGAAACCAAATAATGATCCAATTTCCAGAGGAAAATAAACATTTTTAGTGTAATTACTTGCTATGTAATTAATTCTTTTTGGTCGGCAAGACCTGCTGAATTATGGTGGCAAAACTATAGTAAAGCCCCTTAAATAGGTTTTCTTAGGGTCTGTCTGGTTAGTGGGAATAAGTGTCTGGAATTGGTTTCAACTATTTTGTTGGGCAGAATCGAAATTTGATATTTAAAGGAACTAGTAATTAAGCACGTGTGTTGTATGTATGATTTTTTTTATATTAATTACTTGAATTTTAGATATATCATACTTAGGATAGAAATAAAAAATTAATAAAAGTAACAATATGAATGCATGCACTAAATGTGCACATGCAGAAATTTTAAATTACAATAACAATTACTACTACTACTACTACTAAATTTTGTATTTCATTTCTATTTTAAATAAAAATAATTTTTATTTTAACAATTATTTTTATTTAATATGATGATTATATAACATTAGAAATGTTCCAAAATGTCTTTGACAAAACTCTATACTTTTTTATCTTTTGTGTTCTATCTTTTTTTTTAAATATTTATTATTCAATTATTGACATCATGAATTTCTTTGAAAAGTTGGATCATTGACCTATCATTTAAATAAGAAAATAGTTTTGCTTTCAGATCAATTTTAAATTATATATTTCATCTACATTATATACATAATTTTTACTTATCACACTTAATTTTTGTTTGACATAATTAATATATATTTTTTTTGATTATTTTTTAAATATTTATAATTTATCTATTATATCATCGATTAATCCATTTGACCCAAACCACTATCCCACGATCCAAAAAGAAAAATAGTTTGATTTCTATGTTGACATTAAATTTTGTATTACATTTCCATTATTTATAAAATTATATCTTATGTGTAATATTTATTTTTGTGATTCTTTGTATTTTCTATTTTTAAAAATTTTATTATTTGACTATAACATCATTTCATTTAGGTTGATTTTAATTTTGGCATTCCATTTTCACCAATTATAGAAATACTTCTTACATTTCATGCTTATTTTTATTTAGTATAATGAATATACAATATTAATGACATGTCATGTTCTTTTTTATTTTTTGTATTATATATTTTATTTATTTTAAATTTTTATTATTTAATTATGGCATTTTTTGTTAATGGATTTGACCCCAAATGGTTGAATTTCTTACCCACCACCGAGATGGAAGAAAATGGTTTTGTTTTCTAATTATTTTTATATTATTAAAATTAATGTGGATTTAATTAATAAAATTTAGGGG